TGGCTCAACAAGTCATTGGCGTTCTGTAGGATCGTAATCTTTTCGTGGAGACCTGTATTCTCCAGCAACACAGCCGATAGTTGAACCGTTAATTCTCTTATTTTCAGTTTGCACTCGAGGATTTCTTTTTTCAGTAACTCTATTTCTGCCGGACAAACCATAGGACCTCCTGGAAATTCATTGAAATTACTTCTAATAGTTCTAATTATTCTGAATCATCAACTTTGTAAGCCTTCATATCTCTCAAGATTTGTGTTTTGATTTATCTCAACATACAGTAAATTGACATTTTTAGATCAATAAAAATGAGATGATTCCAAAAAGGTAAAATACTTGAGGTCACAACATACAGGATGTTACATTGAAAAAAAGTGCCGATGCGGTCATCACCTAAATGTAAATCATCCTGTAAAATAAAATTTAGGGGTGAAATATAGAACATCTAAATTGAAAATCGTTCAGAAAATATCAAATTTATTCTATACTTTACGGACACAGTGTATGTAATTTGACAATAATTGAGCCAAAAATTAAAATTCAACTAAATGAATTGAAAACTCTACAAAATGATGCAAATTTCATTTTTAAACGTCAACCGAAGCATAAAAAACTTCCATTTTAAACGAAATGTTTTTTTGTTTCATAATCCAACAATATATCACAATTTGATATTCAATTATCTTCATTGGGATAAAATGTAAATGGAATTTCATTAGTTGAAACTAATATCAAAAGTATCAAGCCATGAAAATAGTGTACTTATTTCTTATAAACAATATAGTTTTTTTTTTTGTTACATAATTATAAAAAGTACTACAATATGAGTCCGTGATAATTTTGATGGAATTGTTGTCACAACATTTTTTCAAAAAAAGCGTGGGACATTTTAACAATGTGGATTTTGTCTACTGATTCCCCCATTATTTAACAGATTTTATTTCTACAATTCCACTTAAACCCTCACAATTTGTTTGAACTCCCACAATTCCACCTGAATTCTCACCATTCTCCTATAATTGCCATTAAATACCGAAGATCAAATTTTATTAAATACTGTATTTGCTTGTGCGTCTTTATATAACCCAACCTTGAACTGTTCAAATACCCCTTTTTATTCTTGTGCACATTATAATCTAACACTCAATTCATTGAATCTGCAATCTATCGAACTGCTAAATGTTCCTCAAACCTAGATATGATGCGCCTTCTAGTTTGGCCCACAAACAGCCAAGTTATCTCCTATTATTTAGACATATGTAGGTAATGTCGTCCAATCTAGAAGATCTATAAAAACTAGATTCAAGGAACATGTTTTTTTTAATAATATTAATAATAATAACATTTATTTGTAATACATTGCTACAATTCCTAAATTGTTACCCATTTCTAAGTTATGTTATTGTTATCAATAAATGTAGGCATATCATATTTTAAAGTAACAATTATTATTCATTAAAGATTATGAGAGGGTTAATATAAATCGTTCTTATAGTTTCTATCATGGAATTGCATGAACAGACAAACAGTATTCATACTGGTATAAGACTGTCCATCATGTTGCTTTTATAATTATACAATATTATTTCATTGAATGTAACTTCGATATTTTTAGCGACATGAAAAATAACACATTTGTGACTTACCTTGACCTAATATTTGCATCCTGATTTGCTTGTGACGTTATTTGTATAACCTAACCTCGAACTATTCAAATACCTCTTTATATTCTTGTGCACAATATAATCTTACACTCGATTCATTGAATCTGCTATCTATCGATCTGCCAAATGTTCCTCAAACCTAGATATGATACGCCTTCTAGTTTGGCCAACATACAACCAAGTTATCTCCTATTATTTAGACATATGTAGGTAATGTAGGCCAAACTAGAAGATCTATCAAAACTAGATTCAAGGAACATGTTTCTCGGTTGATTCTTTTGGTAATTTTAGCGACATGAAAAATAACACATTTGTGTCTTACCTTGACCCAATATTTGCAGCCTGATTTGCTTGTGACGTTATTTGTATAACCTAACCTTGAACAGTTCAAATAACCCTTTTCATTCTTCTGCACATTATAATCTAACACTCGATTAATTGAATCTGCAATCTATCGATCTGCTAACTGTTCCTCAAACCTAGACATGATCCGCCTTCTAGTTTGGCCCACATACAACCAAGTTATCTCCTATTATTTAGACATAGAGAGGTAATGTAGGCCAAACTAGAAGATCTATCAAAACTAGATTCAAGGAACATATTTCTCGGTTGATTCTTTCGATATTCCAACACATTTGTGACTTACCTTGACCCAATATTTGCAGTCTGAGCTGCCTAATCGTCTGTTTGAGTTCATTAATCTCTGCCACTTTGGCGTCTTGATTGACGATGGGTTTGTTTCTGATCTTTCTCGCCCTATCAGCGTACCTCAAGGTCGACAACGTTTCGTCTATATTATAATCGGCAGGACTCACACAAGCTATCATCAGTGTTATGCTATTACCGCCCAACGAATCTAAAAATCAACAGGACATGAACGACTTCTAGAGGTGATAATAAGAGAAAAAAATTATTTGTTTGTGAAAGGAGGTTGTCTTATGTATTATAAATATACTATTTTTTTCTGTAACGAAAAAACCAAGATTTAATATTACAATGTATATTACGGGTGTCCCAGAGCTTTCAAGCCAGAAGATTACTGGGTTATTTAACATTCAAAAAAATCAACAACAAAAAAAGTAGAATGGGCGAGTGGACTGATAATGAATTATTCTCTCACGCTTTCTTTGTGTATGCGTTGTTCAAAATCGTTGAACTTCAGAGCTCATTTCTAACGTAAATGTTGGAGACATGGCAACAATGTGCTGAATGCTGAGAACTGACAAGACAACGCCCACAAGTCGTGCGCGGGGTTGTCACGTTCACCCTTTCGAATGTCCTCTAGTGTGAATCAATATTATTATTGATTAAACAAATTTATTATAAGCAATAAACCACAAATCATACGGGAACATTTTGAGACAATTGAATTTGTATTGCTAATTAGGAAAATTATCAATACTCAATTGAAGAATTAATGAATTATTGAATAATTAATATTTCTGAAGTTCCTAATCGTATATCAACACTTGGCAACTGTGCTATGGTTTGCCTACTTACGAAATCATGACGTCAGTTTTTACTTGCGGTAAATTTCTATACCTTTTCAACTTCAATTTCGGAATCGGTGAGTTATATTTCGGAAAAAGTAATCTCGATTTCAGAATTGGTTAGTTCGATTTCAGAAATGGTAAACTCAATTTCAGAATCGGTGAGATGAATTTCAGAAAAAGTCCATTCAATTTCAGAAATGGTAAGTTGTATTTCCGAATTGGTAGGTTCAATATCATAAAAAAAATCCTTATATTTGTTCGAAATGTTTCCAATTGCGTGAAGACAAGCACTGAATGGGTTCACCAAAAAGTATTCCACTAAATTGCAATCGTTCAAAACACTCATTTTTCAGAAATTCATAGAGCCCCAAACCATTAACCTAACATAAACATAAACAATGCACTCGCGCTTGTCCGCAATTCGCGAAGCGACACGACAAACACGTGCTATTCGGGCGTATTCAAGCATTTGCATTGCGCGCGTAGGTTGCGCACTGTGACGGAGTCTAGCCTCCTATAGATGTTGCCAAGTTGAATATTTTACGCGTGATTTGCAGACTTCAACGTGTGATGCGTGGGCAAGCACTGTTGCCAATTCAAAAATATTTAACTGAAAACAGGAAATAAAATCAAAATCCATGTATTTTGGTGTCCTTCTAATGAGAAAGTATTGACAATATTACATTGGAAAATCTCTGAGGAGCCGCTACTGGTTATTTGTCATCAAGACAGCAGTATGTTGTTATAAATAGCACAGCTTCCTACCGCTCAGAAGTTAATATCGGTGTTCCACAGGGCTCGGTATTCGGACCTGTACTCTTTCATATTATATATTAACGATCTGGATCAATTGCCAATACAAGGCTCACTCACAATATATGCAGATGATACTTCGATTATCATATCCGATAAATGCAATGAACACTAGCTACCAAATCCAATGAAGCACTGCGAAATATTGAAATCTAAAATGTATTCCTACTCCTATCAATTCAGAAACTTGAAAAATATTCTGAACAGAGAACAACTACTGAATCTTTATTTTTGACAAATTGACAGCCGTCTCCGTTATGGTATATGCTTCTGGGGTCTATCTAGCTCATCACAAGATGTTTTCATTTCTCAGAAACGCGTTATCCGTTCCTTGGTGGGTGTGTCCAACAGAACTTCGTGTCGTGACATTTTCATAGACCACAAAATACTCACGGTACCTTCCCTTTTTATTTTAGAATCATGTCTGTATGTGTTTAATAACAAAGCCAATTTTAATACTAATAGTTCTCGCCATGGAGTTAATACTAGACGTAAAGATGATTGTTACATCCCTTTTAGTAAGATGAATGTAACTCGACAGTCGCACTCAGATTTCATAACGCTCTACCTGCCGAAATTAAACAATGTATGACATCTTCTTTCAAAGTATCCTTGAAATAACTATTACAAACAAAATGTTTTTATTCGGTGGAAGAATATCTTTCCCAATAATTTTAATAATAAGCTACATGCGTGTATGTATTGTTGTACCTCTCACTCACATTATCAATTTATCCCTCCAGCAAGGAGTATTTCCTTCTAGGCTGAAGATATCCAATGTCATTCCTCTTCACAAAAAAGGTGATTCAAATACTGTGGATAATTATAGGGCTATTACTTGATGCTCAAGCATAGGCAAAATTTTTGAAGCTGTCGTCAACAAAAATATGATTAACTTTTCAACATTCAATGGTAACTTGTCTCTATGCCAACATGGTTTCACGAAGAATAGAAACACTGACACTGCACTTTGTGAATTTTTAAATAATATATATAAAGCTCTCGATGATAAACAAGTGGCACTGGGGTTATTTATAGATTTTTCCAAGGCATTTGACTGTGTTCGGCATGATATTCTTCTGTATAAATTGGAGAGATATGGAATTCGTGGAGTTACCTACTCTCCAATGGTTCGCATCGTATCTGACTGATAGACAACAGCCGGTTAAATGTAATAACTATATTTCTGATTTGAAATCTGTGAATATAGGTGTGCCTCAAGGATCCATTCTTGGTCCAACACTCTTTATTATATATATCAACGATTTAATTGAATCAATGAGATCACACTCTACTCAAGTAGTAGCTTATGCTGATGATACAAACTTTCTGTTCATTTCAGACACTGTTTATAATGCTAAAAAACAGGCCGAACTAGTTTACATGAATGTTTGCAAGTGGGTTGATGTGAACAAGCTTTGTCTGAATAATGATAAATCGACCTGTGTTATTTTCAAATCTTCTGGTTCAGAATATCCTAACCACATAACTCTAAATAATACAGAAATCAACTGCGCTCTAAATACTAAATTTTTTGGTGTTATTTCAGGAAGTAACCTGGAGTGGTATGGACATGTAGATAGTTTGTATTCGGAGCTAGCTAAAAAATGCTATATGCCCTTTTCATTTCATCACAACAATGTAGCAAAGAAATACTGAAACAATTGTATTTGGGGGGCTTTCACTCAAATTTAAAATATGGAATCATGCATTGGGCGAATTCCGCAGAAGCTCATAGGGCCTTCACCTTACAAAAAAAGGGCAGTCCGTATCTTGGGAAATCTGAGAGCAAGAGATTCATGCAGGGAATATTTTAAAAAACTGGGTATCTTCGCAATGATTTCCCTTTACATTTATGAAGTAACCTGTTTTGTATATAATCATAAACGTTATTTTGAGACTGAAAAACTCGAACATGATTACAATACAAGGAACAAAGATTATCCGTTGCCTCCTCAACACTCATCTGCTCGGTATCAGAAAAGTTTATATTACAATGGATGTAAATTATACAATTGCCTGCCAAAATCTATACAAGAATCAAAAAATAAATTCCAATTCAAGAATAAAATGAAAAACTTGCTCCTGAAAAAATCTTATTACACCTTGGATGAATTCTTCTGTGATCCAATCATCGCTGACTGATGAATAATGTTTTTGAGTAGACGTTGATATACTTTTTATGTTTATGTACCTGTGAAATCTTGTATATTATTATGTTTGTTTTATACATACGATATTTATTTATTTATGTACTTTAGCCTAATTTTGACGTTTTTTTCTTAAACTGTATGTTTTTGAAACATATAAATCTATCTATGCTATCTCTTTAATCACACTTATGTGTTATGTGTCAGTTTCCTTTTTGTCTATTTTGTTTATTTTGTATTCTACTTACATGTACCCCTTTGACTATTCCTATACAATTTTGTAATTGTCGACTGGAAAATTGAATAAATGAAATGAAATGAATCAATGTATCTCAAGATATTGACTTTGTCGACAAAAAAATCTAGTCCACTCGCCTATTTATGGTAGTTACTTTTATTTCAAGAATTAACACTGAGAGTGGAAAAACAATCCGCCGAATATGATTCTGCTGATTACCTTTGAGTAATCTAGTGAGATTACTATCCCGGTATGGGATGAATCCGTTTTGCGTTTTTTCATCTCCCAAACAACTGATTACATTACCCAACACGAATAATCCTTTGTTGATAAGGACACCTTCTTTAAAAGTGCTACCGACTGCACCAGTTTTCTTCGGTCTCTCCGATCCAGCCAGATCGACCAGGTGTAGTTTGGATACCTTATATTCCTTCCTAAAACACAAAAAAATATTCATAGTCCGGAAAATACTGTTTTTTTGGACGAGTAGAAAAAATTCTAGGCCTAGCCGTAGGCGAGTCCTGGAATTCTGCGAGTCTGTGGTCGTACTTATATTGAAACTACAATTGAGCTCTTTACTATCTTGAACGAGATAGAGGACAGTTCTCTCCTCTTCCATCTCTCTCTGCAATGCTACCAACGTGGCCGCATTGAAATATAGAGAGGTCCGATAAATCTTTCCTTGTCTAACATCTACTTTGTGCCGCTGAACTATTTTTCATATCAGCAGAGTGCCAAATTTAACGATATCAACAAATTATGCCAAAATAGGTATGATGTAATTCAAAATGTCATTTTGAAAATTCGAAATGTCATCAGTCAATGACATTCATGACATAGACATATCACGTCATTATGATATCGAAAATAGGAAAGATTTATCTGACCTCTCTATATTTCAATGCGGTCACGTTGGTAGCATTGAAGAGAAAGATGGAAGAGGGAAGAACTTTCCTTTCTCTCGTTAAAGGTAGAAAAGAGCTCAATTCGAACATCCTTAGAAATTGAATAAACCTGATCTGTAAACACAGGTAGAATATTCTCACCACATGGATTATATGTTGCATTGCATATACAAGGTGGGCCAAAAGGAGTCATCCGATGTTGTTTCACTCCCATTTTTTTTTTCGAAATGAAAAGCTTCGATTCTGTTTTTTGATTATTTTTGTTTCAACTTCTAGAATTTTATTGGTCAAATCGGGACGATGATATCGGCCAAATGGGCGCCGCCACAATTGTTCGCTATAGGGGCTCGTTTTATGCATTTTTCATCACTGCGGCGAGAACTTCGGGCGACAGATTGTCGCACTCGTGTCGAATGTTATGCTTGACGGCTTTCAGGGTCTCGGGCTTGTTCAGGTAAACACGGAACTTCAAAATTAAACACCAAAAAGGTCTGCAACGGTTAAATCGAAAGATCTTGCGGGACAGTGCAAATCGTCAAAACGAGAGATGAGGCGACCCGGGAACGCCGCCTACAGAATATAGGTTATGGCTCGCGCAGTGTGTGCCGTTGCTCCGTCCTGTTGGAACCACATGCCCTCCAGTCCTAATTCGTTCAATTGCAGCAGAAAAAACTCGGTTAATATGGCCCTATAGCGCGCACCGTCCACTGTTGTCGTTTGACCAGCGGTGTCGTCGAAAAAAATGGCCCGATGACTCCTCCAGAAAGAATAGCGCACCATGCAGTCGCTTTGAGCGGGTGTAATGGCTCCTTGTGCATCACTCATAGATTTTTGGTGCCCCAAAAGCGATATTTCTGCTTTTCCACGTCCCCGCTGAGGTGGATATGAGCCTCGTCGCTCACTATGATTTTGGTCGAAAAATCGTCCATGAGATTGAGGATGGCTTGGCTTGGATTATTCCGCGTTCTTGGGAAGTGTATTGCTCCATGGCTTGTTCACTTGTATTCTACATCTGTCTAGTTCACGAATGACAAATAGATTTGACATTGACCGCCATTTGCAAAAATAAGAGCTACTTCCAATAGGGTGATTTCTTTTGGCCCACCTAGTATATGGCACGGCATCCACGTTCCAGGTATAGTATTGAATTCGTGCCTGTAGTATCTGATGATGCATGTCAACACAAATTGTAACAAAGTAAAGTCATCGTCCACCAATATTGTAATGTAATAGTAGTCTGAGGTCTTGCTTTCATCTATCTACCGATATTATTATTATAAAGGTATTTTTTTTATCGCTTGGAGCGCACGAAAGGGAATCCCTATAATGTTCAAAGAACATCGTGCGTTCCTAGGGAGGATAGGGATAGGAGGTAGGTATTGCTAGTGAAGGGATGATAGCAGAGATTTCCGAAGAACATTTCCCGTGGAAGTATCGATAGAAAAGTGAAAGGTCGCCGACCTTTCTACGGTGTTCCAACGATGTCAAAGAGTGAGTGAGTGTGGCGTCATCCACCAGGCGAATGGCTCTTCTCTGGATGGAATCTAAGAGCATCAGCGTATGTTTTGGTGCTGAACCCCATATGTGAGAACAGTATTCCAGAACAGGCCGTATCTGCGCTTTGTAGATCATGAGAAGCTGTTGAGGTGTAAAGTAGCTTTTCGCACAGAACAAGAATCCGAGTTTTTGTGAAGCAGCTTTTGCGATGGATCTGACATGATTATCCCATGAAAGAGTGTTGCTGATGGAAATACCGAGCATAGATATGGTGGGCTTGGTGGGGATGGTGGAGCCAGACATCACAATATCGGGCATACTGAGTTCCGCCTTTCTAGAGAAAATGCAAGCTTGAGTTTTGGTGGCGTTGAATTCAACTAGGTTGTTTGTTCCCCAGGCTGTGATTTCAGCAAGATCTTCATTGACAGCATTGACCTGCCTGCGCTGTGAGTTCTTAGTTTCCTGGGAAGAAATGGGAATTCTGGAAGAGAACGCAGTATGGAGGGTACTATCATCTGCAAAGCTGTGGATGGGGCAAGTTGTTACTCCCAACAGATCATTGATATGAAGCAGGAATAATGTTGGTGCCAAAATTGAACCTTGTGGAACGCCGGAATTGATGCCAATGGTATCAGACGATACACCGTCCACCACCACGTGAAGCGATCTGCCTGAAAGAAAACTCGATAAGAGATGGCATAGCTGAGGTGGTAAGCCGTATGATGGTTGTTTGTGGAGGAGTCCTTCGTGCCAAACACGGTCGAATGCTTTCGAAATGTCCAACGCGACAGCTAGAGATTCCCCGTGTTTTTCTATTGAAGATTGCCATAAATGGGTGACGTAGGCAAGTAGATCTCCAGTAGATCTTCGATGGCGAAAGCCGTATTGTCTATCATTGATGATTTCTGAGCTCTCCAGATATTTGATAAGCTCAATATTGATGGCTTTCTCCATCCCTTTGGAGATAACTGATAACAGGGCAATGGGCCTGTAGTTGTTGGGCAGGTTCTTGTTCCCTTTTTTGGGGATTGGTTGGACTCTATCTGTCTTCCAGCATGATGGAAAAATACCCGACCTATACGAGATGGTAAACAACTTGCAGAGAATCGGTGTTAATTCTGGTGCACATTTTTTGAGGATAATGGGTGGAATTCCATCAGGACCGTTAGCCTTATTCGTTTCGAGACCAAGTAAAATTAGTCTGATAGTGCGTTGACGGAAGACGATTTCGGGCATTCTACTCTCAACGGGTGGGATGTCTGGCGGCAGTTTCCCTTGGGAATCTAAAGTAGAGTTTGCTGCGAACATCTCTGCAAAAATATTCGCTTTCTCCTGCGATGTTGTTGCTAATGTGCCGTCGGATTTGGACAGTGGTGGAAATGAGCTATTAGTGAAATTTCTTCCGACCGCTTTAGCAAGGGACCAAAACGAACGAGAGCCATTGGAGCAATCTATGAGTTTCGATCTTATCTTGGCATTGTATGTTTCTTTATATAATAATCTGTCAAGTAAGTCACATTGGTGGTTGGTTCACATATTTATTTTAGTTAATTCTTTCGGTTGCAAAATTCTACTGTCAATCAAAGTTTCACTTCTTCACTGTGTTTGATTTGATAATCAAATGTAGGTAAACAATATCGTTGTTTGAGACAAAAAAACTATTGCTTGTCGTGATTATTCAAAAACTAGCTATCTTATCCCGAGAATAACGGATGAAATACAGATCAAGCAAGTATTTGAATCTTGAAGGCATCCCTGATCAAAACAAAAATACTCAACTGAGATGTTTATTATTCCAATACTCAACTATAAATAATAAGCTGTATTCATATCTCCAGCATGGGTATGAAATGCCAAATCTGCCGAAATCGGAAACAAATCAGGTATGCGGCTCAACCCAAATAACCAACCATAACAGTGTTGTTTATTCTTGATGACGTCCAGTACATCCTTTTTAGTTCCTAGGAGCTAAAGTTCGACTTTAGCTCCTAGGAACTCAAGTTCAACTTTAGCTCCTAGGAACTAGATATGTTGCCTAGCAACATACCTATTTTTTAAAAAATAAACATAGTTGATTAGGAATGCAGGTACTTACCTATTTTCTTTATTAGTCATTGACATATTCACTGTGAAAATGGCATGACTTCTAGAGCTCTGCGAATTCATAGCCGTGCATCCAGTAGCCCTACCTGCAGAGCCCTTTTGAAGGATCGCTAACACTTCTTCGGCAGACTTTACGGGCAATTCTGATAGCCCAGGAATCAATATACCTCAAAAATTCGAAATTATTCAACTAAACCAATTTGATGTTATTATAATCAAGTTATCAAGGAGATGTAAGAGTCCTGTCGTTGAATTAAACATAATAGGGGGAACCCATGATATTATAGTTCATTCTTGACTTTGTGTATTTGTATGTGTATTTTCAGTATATCTACCGCTCTTGCAAATTTCAGAATCATAACTCAGCAATTACGAAAGATACAGGGATGCTTCCATTAGAAGTGAGACACACTGTATGATTTTCATCTTGAGTCAATTCTGATCTCCATATCTCTTCATCTGAGGTTTAAGCTTCAAAATGAGCCTGAGATTTCGAAAATCGGTTGACGAGGAAAAAAGTTATGACTGCAAAACCAATTTTTTGAGATCACTCTGTAAATAAAAGAGGTGAGGAGACAATTCGAGAACTGTCCCAAGATAATGAGATCATCTACATGTCTCTTCTGTCAAAGTAAAAACAAAAGCTTTTCTTCATTTGGGATACTTTTGAAATTTTATGTGAAGAACCATATGTTTTAAAGAATTACGAGATTATAGCTGAAGGACTGGGCTAGCAAACAGTGTGATCCGAATTCGAATCGTTCAAAGCAGAAAAAAGTGATTCATATTTCAACAGAGAAAAAATTTTAGGGTGCGACGAAATTAGTGTTGCGTAGTTTATATAACTGTTTCACAAACCCTTTTTCCTACTACTGCTATGAAAAGTAGCGCCTTTCTCATAGCTAACTTAGCTTCAAAACCATGTATTGCCCATACTGTGAGAAATATTTTTTCTCACGGCACTTTGCCAACACCACATACATAGTTCTCATTAGTTCTTTTGATAGAAATCGCATTTTTCATCAAATATTGTTCCAACAATTCATAATAAATAATATGATGTATACAGTGTGTCCCACTTACCATGCTCACCATGGGTATCTTTTCAACGGTGAGAGATACGAGGTCGGTTAAATGACACCAAAATTCGTAACTAAGTCATAGTGAGCTATGAACTAAATTTGAAAAACTAAAGTTGGTGCTGATATCTCAAATTCTAGAAGAGTTGGTATAAATTCCATTTTTTTTTCGAAATCAATTTGAAAAACTGCCATGAGAATGTGAAATTCCTATTTGAATATATTCATAAATAAAGAAGTTATGTAGGAGACATGAAAATGATCAAAATCTGTTTTTTGCGTATAAAACAAAAACGAATAGATTTTATCAAAATATTTTTTCCCATTATAGTTGGCCATGACAAACTCCACATTTGGTGTCATTTAACTGACCTCGTATCACCATTAAAGATACCCATGGTGAGCATGGTAAGTGGGACACACTGTATACCGAGATGTGACGATTTTGATAAATACATCGCCAGAGACAGAGATAATGGAAGAAGCTGCGAAAGTTGGATTTGTTTCCGGAAATTTCAAGAAAAAATCATGAATTGGCATATTGGTACGAATAATTTATGGAATCTAAAAAAATACAGAAATAAAATCTTTTTTCGAAAAGTGTACTTTTTTGAAATACTTTGAGGAACTAGGAAAGGCGTCTACTTTTTGGTCACAATATTCAATGTGGCATAGTGCCACATTATAAAATGAATACCACAATAAGTTACATTACTCGCATTCTTTGAATGAGTGCAGTTGTAGAAAAAGTATAGTGTGCAACATGTGGGGAAAAGCACTTTTCTCACTCGTGCGTTTGCATCACTCGCCCTTCAGGCTCGTGCCACAAACTTTCGCACTCGTGAGAACAGTTGAACTTATCCGTTACCACCGATACAACAAGGCCAGCAGACTCTGACGTAAACAGCTCGTGACGTCACCAAGAGAGGCCAGTGTTTTATTTTATCGCTTGTCGACTAACGCGTCAGTTCGTGTTAATTCATCGGTGATTCACGTATGTTTTTGAAACGGTCCCGAATTCTTTTGTTGTTTATTCATCAAAATAATTGGCGGAAAAATTACTGTTTTGTGAAATATTTTGTGTTGTGATCGGCGGAATAACAATGCCTTTCAAGTGTTGTGTTCCCTTTTGTCGGGGGAATTATGTGGGTGGTTCAAAAGTTTATGCTTTTAGTTTCCCGTTGGACGAGGAGCTATCGAAAATGTGGGTGTATGCAATTCATCGCGAGGATTTTACTCCATCTAAGTTCAGTAGTAAACAGAGCTTAATTTATAATGATGAATTAATAATAGAAGACAATTACCCTCTCATAAAAAGTATAAGTAGAGGAAAAATAATAGAAAAGCTTTGATTGTGCAGTTAGTTTTGTATTCGTATATTATAGTCAACAAAATCATCTCTGAATTCGAGGAAACTTTCTTGAATGTTCATAATAAACGGGCATTTTTAATTCTCATTCTCAAATTTCTTTCTGAAAACGATCATTTGCCTCGTGGCAATGAATTCATTCCAATGATCAAATTGCAACTATCATATTAACATGAACTACAAACACTATACTTAAAAAGGTAAAACTGCATTTATCATGATATTTATCATGAAGATATTTGACTAAAAAGTTCCAAATTTCACCTTCTTTTTCACCTGTCTTCTGGATGGCATTTAGAACAAATTTCCCTTCTTTTTTCATCATATTGGACAATTGGGAATTCCCCAAGATAAATATAGGTAATTGTAACAAACGGCAAGTCAATCAAAATAAAATACATTTTCCACAATTTTCTTTCGATCAATCTCACGATAAGTTTATGTTCTGCGGGCCCTGTATAAGTAGGTGTGAAGTTTACCTTCACCACAATTTTTGCCAATATATTTAATTCGAATGGGTTGCTGTAGGTGGATATTTGTGTTTTATCCTGGTTTTTGCTTTAAAACTTCGTTTTTCCATAATAAAATCGAATGGGGTGCGAAGAAGGGCTCAGTTGACGACTGGCATCCTTTTTTAACCGGAAGCCCTTCAAAAAACAGCAAAATTGGCTCAATGATGATCTAAAACTAAAATCGAAATACGCGGTCGCCTTATAGCGCTATAAGCGCTTGTCGTTTCGAGCCACTGGTTAGGCCTCACTAAGTGACGTCACCCACGGAGCATGCAGGCCTTGTTGTATCGGTGGTAACGACTTATCCCACTTGTTGCACAATATACTATAGAGTGAGAGGAGACAAGGATCTGTCCGTAACCTGTTAAGATGACAAATATGTCCGGTTGCATCAAGGGACCCAATTAAATACGTCCGAGTCAATGGAAAATAAATAACTTCAAAAAAATATCTACCTTTCACTGGATCTTCTCGCAATTCCACAACGCATTGGTCTCGGGGCTTCCCCGATAGCAGATCATACAGTACCTCCTGATAGAGTTCCATGAACGAGACAGTTATATCGAAATCGATGGAGAAATTGTCTTTGACGGTGTCGAAAATTTCGCTTATCGCCCTGGGAATAACGCCCATTTGCCCTGCTCCACTGTATGCTGTGCCCATTGAATGGGTCTTACCTGAACCAGTTTGTCCATATGCCATGATAGTTAGATTGTACCCCTAAAATACCCATTATATATCAAAAATTATCAATCCATCTATCTATCTATCTTGGCAAAATATTTTATAAGGATTTTTTCGTTGGAAGAAGTCCATCCATGGTAACTCAAAGTGGAGTGGTGTAGTTCATTGATAAAAATCCAAAGTCATCTCCACAACTTCAAATACATTGGTCAAAGATCTCTCGTAACTAGGGATCGACCGATATGATTTTTTGAGGCCGATACCGATATCGGCTGTTACCGATATAGGCATGGCCGATATTGACCGATACCGATATATCGGCCAAAAATTCAGAGTATTGTTTTTCCCTTGAAAAATATATTCGAAATGGTGGAAAACCAAAGGAAAGACTCTATGCGTAAATTTTAAATTACTAAAAAAGCCGATATTGAAGAAGAATATAGAATGTATATAAAATTAACAAATATTCTAAAAAATGAAGATCCTTTGATGTGGTGGGAAAAAGAGAAAAATAACTTTTCACTACTGTATAAATGTGCAATTATATATTTAGCACCACCACCCAGTAGTGTAGCGAGCGAAAAGCTATTTTCTTCAGCTGGAAACGACTAACGCCTAAAATGGCTGAAAATAATTTACCGAAACTTAATTTCAAATATTAATTTTCGTTTTGTAAGTATTTTTTTTACAATAACTGTTTATTTTTCAATATTAAAAATGAGTTTTGGTATTTTTTTAGAATTTCATGTTTGTTTTTAGATATTTTGTGTTCAATATTTGGTTTCTTTCTTAGAATTTATGTTTGTTTTTTAATATTTTTGAGTAAATATGTATTATTTTGAACATAACATATTTTTTGGGGGTTTGTTTTTGTTTTTTTTTCTTCCAGGTAAAAAGTTACACCATCTTAAAGACTATTATATTTTCTTTTATTATTACTAAGCCGATACCGATATAGGCGGATATTGCCTCTTCATATCGGCCGATACCGATATCGGCCAAACACGCCGATATACCGATACCGATATCGGTATCGGTCGATCTCTAATCGTAACAGAACATGTTTCGGGCTTATATAAGCCCATCATCAGCCAATAGAAAGTATCATAGTTTTGAAAATCAAAAAAGTAGACATACAAAAAATAGAATAGTATGCTCCATGATTGTCTCTTTAAAATGATGTAAATCTATACTAATATTATAAAGAGGAAAGATTTGATTGTTTGTTTTTTTGTATGTATTGAATAGGCTTCGAAACCACTGGAGTGATTTGGCTGAAAATTGGTGGGGAGGTAGCTTAGAACCAGGGGAAGGTTATAGGATACTTTTTATCCCGGTACCATTAGGAAATTCAAGATGGCGGATCTAATATATCGGACGAGTTTTGTAATTATGGTCCGATTCTATTCAAAATTGGTATCTGGGTGTTTTCGGGGTCGAAGATTATGATTCTTTCGTCAGAGTATGAAAATTCCGGCGGAATTTGGAAATTCAAGATAGCGGAACCAATATGGCGGACTAGTTTTGTGATTATAATCCGATTCTTTTCAAAATTGGTACCTAGGGGTTTCCGTGATCGGGGATTATGATTCCTTCGTCAAATTAAGGAATTCAAGATGGCGGATTCAGATTTGGTATCTGGTAGTTCTCGGGGTCGGAGATGATGATTCTTTCGTCAAAATTAGGAAATTCAAGATGACGGACCCAATATAGCGGACGAGTATAGTAATTATTATGATCCGACTCTTTTCAAAATTGTTATCTGGGTGTTTTTGGGGTCGGAGATTATGATTCTTTTGTCAAAATTTGGAAAGAGCGGGATTTGGAAATTCAAGACGGTGGTACCAATATACCGGACGAGTTTTGTAATGAGCGTGTACACCATGTTTATAATTATCCTTTTATACATAAATAATGATTGACGACATAATTCGCTCGAAAAATTAACTGGAATGTTTTATTTTTGGACATAAATAATAGTACCTTCTGAAAACGGACCCTCTTATGACGTAGAAACCTCATCTTGCCATAGTTAAAAGACAATACTAAACGCCCGACGGAGACTGAGGCAGCTGATTTATTAATTCTTTCAACTGTGATCTCGCGCTAATTCACTCTGTCAGAAATCATGTATCATTCATCTTTGTCTGGAATAGTCTTGTTTCAGTATTAGGGTTTTGACGTCACATCATCGCCTCGTTTTCAGAGGTTCGAAAAATCGGGGATTTCAATAATTTTTTATAACACGTAGGGAGCTCACAGCAACAAACGGTTTGCGGTGGTGAGCTAGTTAGTTCTATCGAATTATGAAATAATTTTTTTTTTGTGATATATAAGCCCATTATATGCCGATTCTAATCAAAATTTGTAAGTGGACGTTTTCGGGATCAAAAATTATGTTTCCTTCGTCAAAATTAGGGAATTCAAGATGGCAAATACAATATTTCGGACGAGTTTTGTAATTATGTTCCGATTCTATCCAAAATTTTCATCTGGGGTTTTGAGTCGGATACTCGGTCGGATATTATGATTCTTTCGTCAAAATTGGGAAATTCAAGTGAACTAAAAAGAGGTTGGAATAAATGGTAGTATGAAAAACTAAAGAAACACTTTTATAGATAGCGAGACTAGAAAGAAGTAGGAAACAAAATAATAATAGTTTCTTGATAAATCTTGAACTGAAAAAATATAATATAGAAATAATGTATATATAGCAAAACAACGTTTGCAAATTCTACCAATTTATTATAAAACTCATTTGAAATTTCCTAGTTTGCCCTGTTATTAAAACTATACTATTTGTATGTCTACTTTTTCATTTCTATAACTATGATACTTTCTAATGGCTGGTGATTGGCTTATATAAGTCTCAAACATGTTCCATTAGGATTGATCTTTGATCATTCTAAGAAAAGTTGTGGAGATGAATTTTCATCAATGGATTTTATAAGGATTTGAGAATTCAATTGAATGTTTTTTATGAAAGTTTGATATCTTGAGGATCACAAGAACTCATTTCAACACAGGGTGGTCTCGAAATTGGGGCATAAAGGAAATGGGTAAAAGAAAAGAAAAAACAGCAGTACTCACCTAGTTAAAATATGTGGTATGGTAAGACCATACATTTTTTAAAATAAATAAAACAAGTTCTTGTAATTCATTGTGTGTGTTAAAAAGTCAAGGAGAGATAAAAGAATATACATATACAGGGTGTCCCATAAACATACCGACAAACTTTAAGGGATGGTAGAGGACATCAATACAAACATTTTTGCTAGATAAACATAAATCCGGAAACTCTTCGTTTTCGAGATACAAAAAATGATTAAAAGTCATTAATAATAATTAATGATTAGTAAAAAAAAGTTATTGGAAGTTTTATTAGTTTTTCAATATTTCAATAAACGCATTGGTAAAATGTAAGGTATAATTTTGAAGCATTTAAATTTTTTTTCATAGATGTAAGAGATATGGTTTTTTTTTTCTTCAAAACGAAGGTAGATACGGAAAAATTTCAGGGAACTAAAAAGTTGCATTTTTAGTTGTTCATTCAAAAATAATTATCATAATTACAAAAAATCTGCTGGGCGATATTTTTTTTGTGCAAAAACTATCCGACATAGCCCGTGGGCACGCCCCTGAAATTATTGGGCAAATTCTAATAACTCCAGAAGATACCTTATGAATGTATCAATGATCTGTGAAAATTTCATTAAATTGAACTAAATCGTTTTCACGATATTGATAAAAAATCGATTTTTTTTTCAAATTTACACCCTGTATCTCGAAAACGAAGAGTTTCCGGACTCATGTTTATCAAGCAGAAATGTTTATTTTGATGTCCTCTACCATCCCTCAAAGTTTGTCGGTATGTTTATGGGACACCCTGTATATCTAGGTTCATATAATGCAAATTTTTACCTTGAATAGGTTACCAATAAGAGGCTGAACACATCTATCATATAATTGATCTTGTTCAGATTTACTGGACAGAACATAATTGAATGTGAAAGCTTTACTCCCTAAACTGTGTATTATTATTTGTTCATTGTCCTCTATTACATCCAATATGTCTTTGCAACCTCTTTCAATTTCACTCTGTACAAGTGGTCTCACCCTTACTGCAACTCTAACTGATACATTATCACTATTATCAGACATATTTTAGCTGAAAAAAAAAAATTTCAAAATTATTGTACAAACCTTCCATCCACCCCCCAACAATCGATTTATACAGGGTGAGTCCTAACTATTGTGGCATAGGCTAAGGGTGCATTGTTTGGACCAAAATATGGCAATAGGACCAAATATGCCTTAATAAAATATTGCAGTGGATTACAAATATTTAATTTATGGAGAGTGTGCTTTGGACTGTCAGATAATTGTTGCTGGTAAATTACATTTCTTGTCAGTGAATAAATGTTGGTTCAAGGATATGGTCAATGCTTTATCGGTTGAAAAACCCTGTACTTTTTTCCCACAGGATTATTTTTCTTAAGCATATTTGGTCCTATTGCCATATTTTGGTCAAAACAATCCACCCTTAGCCTATGTCTCAATAGTATGACTCACCCTGTATAATCATCTACAACTATTTCCATGAAATACTTAGGAATAACAATAGATAATAAAATAAATTTCAACATGCATACAGCCAAAATTAAGAAAAATGTTATAGCCAGAGCAAAAAACTTCAAGAGTCTCACATACAAAGGCAATGGAATAAACTTGAACACAAACATGCTGGATCTACAGGGTGTCTGTAAAAGGTCTTTACAAAAACATACCACATATTCCCTACACCAAAATAAGTCGATTTAAGTAAAATTACCTTAGTACAAACTTGCATCGTTTGGGCTCCAGAAGGCCTTGAAGTTACAATTTTTAAATCGTTTTTACCATATAAATTTGAAAGGGCATATGCGATTTTGCTGAAATTAGGTATATTGATAGAGTTTTATGTGAAAAAAAAAATGGTGTTAAAATTTTGTCCGATGATAATACATAGGCGTAGAACTTGATTTTTTGAATAATTGCACCTTTAAAAATTCTACGCCAATGGAAGAAAAGGAGTATGAGTATGAAATTTAGATTGCACAACTCATTTACCTCAAAAAAGGTTCTCTTGATGAGACTCGATTGCTCTCATGGTTTTGACGAAATTTGCATTTTAGTAATTTTAGAACATAAACAATAATTATTAAAATACAAACTTTGTCAAAACCATGAGAGTAAATCGAGTGTTATCAAGGGTACTTTTTTGTATTAAATGAGTACCCAATCCAAATTTCATACTCAAACCCCTTTTCTGCCATAGGCGTAGAACTTGATTTTTTAAATAATTGCACCTTTAAAAATTCTACGCCAATGGCAGAAAAGGGGTTTGAGTATGAAATTTGGATTGGGTACTCATTCACTACAAAAAAGTACCCTTGATAACACTCGATTTACTCTTATGGTTTTGACAAAGTTTGTATTTTAATAATTATTGTTTATGTTCTAAAATTACTAAAATGCAAATTTCGTCAAAACCATGAGAGCAATCAAGTCTTATCAGGAGTACTTTCCTTGAAGTAAATGAGTTGCGCAATCTAAATTTCATACCCAAACTCTTTTTCTTCCATTGGCGTAGAATTCTTAAAGGTGCAATTATTTAAAAAATCAAGTTCTACGCCTATGTATTATTATCGGACAAAATTTTAACACCATTTTTTTTGCCACATAAAACTCTATCAATATACTAAATTTCAGCAAATTCGCATATGCCGTTTCAAATTTATATGGGAAAAACGATTTAAAAATTGTAACTTCAAGGCCCTCTGGAGCCCAAACAATACAACTTTGTACTGAGGTAATTTTACTTAAATTGACTTATTTTGGTCTAGGGAATATGTGGTATGTTTTTGTAAAGACCTTTTACAGACACCCTGTATAAACTAATATGCAGGCCTCCCATAGAATATGGTAATGTGTTACCTATTCCTCAACATCAAAAGAGCAGTCATGCAGAATCTCAGAATAGCTGAAAGATATACCACTAAAAGTTAATAATCCACTACATAAACTTCCCAACCAATTCCTGTACCAGATAAGATCCATAAAACCAAAGGAAAATCCCATTTTCAGGATACATATATATATCCACCTTTGAGGCATCCAATTCATATGCTATGGGAACAATGATTATTATCAACATGATCTTTTTTTTAACATATATGTAATATTATAAATATATTAGGAGGGGGAAACAACTCTTTAAATAGGTGTACACCATGGAACTTCAAGTACTTTAAGTATCATTTTTAATACATTAAGTACAATTTAATAAGCTGTCAAGTCTCCTTTCAAGTACTTCAGTATTTAAGTACCTGTTAACATTACCTTAGGTAATACCAGTTTCAAGTATTTTAAGTACTTTTTAATTACCAGATATTGAAATATGGTGTACACATTTTGGGTAGTTGTTTCCCCCTTATATATTACCAATATTACCATAATCATTCCCATTCAATATTATGTATTATGAGATCGATTAATACTATTATTTATTATTGTCCTAAAGATTTGATACTGTACAATAATTTCATTTTGGGGCAACTGACAAGATAATAATAATAATATATTATCCTAGAAAATATACTGAATGTCACAGTACTGAAACATTTTTTAATACTTGGGAGTAGTTTATTGGATTGAGAACTGAATTCAAATGTTCAAGTAGTTATATCTATCTATCTACTTCTCATACTCATTGACCAAGTGATGAAGTATCAAAATAATCAAATTAACCATCTATAAATCAATATATCACCCAATTTTAACTATTGCATTATTCATATACATAGAGCTTCATTTTGAAATCAGAACTTAAAAATAATATATCATCAACTCTCCAATCAACTAAGAGTAAAAGAGGGTCATAGTTAGGCTAGTCATGTCCAGGTCTGATTTGATTTTATTGAATAATATTCATGTGATAATAATTGTGTAATCAAAATACATGTACAAAATTTGTATGGAATATTCAAAAGAATATGATTGGGACTAGGTTTTGGTTCAACCCCTGGAGTCTACTACCTGATCTAATAGGAGGGTAGGTACAAATTGATTCAAGATATGAATTATTCAGAAAAGAATGCTACATCTTACAGTGTCTATACACTATTCCTAATCTATAAAGAGATCTTCCCAAACAATTACCCTAATGTTATTCTGATTTGTTATTCCAGTTTTAGTTTGAATCACAAAAAAATTACAACTGAATGCGTGTTAGTAGATATCTCCTGAAACAAAAAAAAAACAAGGTTCTCTCAGAAATAAAAAAGCATACAAAAACTGGAAAGATATGTTAGCAAAAAAAGGGGTCAATGAGCAAACAGAAATGGAACTCTGGTGAGAACTCTTGACAATGAATTCACATATCAGCATTGGGACTGTTTGGGCTGATTTGGATCCAATCTGGTCCCTGCGTGCTGGAATCCCACAATGCCAAAACCTCGGCCAAAACCGAGGCCAAAACCATCAAAAGATGAAAATATCTACCATTCATTTCCAGAGCACTACTCACCTGAAGCCTTCTCAAGTCACTAACACAAAGATGATAAAACACACAAATTAAGACTCACTACACACTAAAATAAAAATTATTGTTGCAAAATCTTGAGACATGAAGAAATTGGATTTTTAAATTTGAAAATTTACAAGCAACGCGTCAAGTCTTCAAGTCAAGTATCCATCTCCAAGTCAACAAGTTTTCGAAAGGGACACTAGTGACAGTTGCATTGACTGATTCAAATTTCGAACACAACGGTCTTTTCCTTAGATCATGTAGTGTATGATCATAGGTGGGGAAACTTCACGAAAATCGCGCCAGTTTCTGTAAGTGTGATGGCTGCCATTCGTATTCACACGTCGCACTTGTGAAAAATTGAAAAGTTTTATATCCGAATTATTATACAGGTTGTTCTATCTGTACAGACTACTGATTCCACAATATTTTTGAGAACTTTATTGTTTGCTCCAGTTAACAAGTGTAAATTGTTTCAGGTGACAGTGGCCCTGCAGAAGTATCTGGCATGAGAGCAACTATGAAATTATTGGAAAGCACTGGAGAGGTGAGTGAGCTTTATCCACATCCACATCAAAGACAAAATTATGTGGATAGAGGTTTATTCCTCTTCCCACAGACTCCTGTTATTGTATACAATAGTCATGTTTCACTAGGCAGTAAATCTACATTTACTGCCGTGTGAAACATATAATTTTCCCTTCAAATGTTATAAAATCAATTTTGTGTTTAAGTTTTTTATCGAAAATTTCATCATGTGTTCACCCAATGTCAGTGTCAATTTTGATTACCAATCTCCTGCCGCTTGGAGAAATAGTTATTTTTGTATCCAGTGCGCGAAATGCAACTTTGGTGATCGAGAACTGTTTTTTTTAACGAGGCGCAGCATCCTGACTGAGATACAGGGTGTCGAAAGTACGAAAAAAGTTAAGATTTCTCTACATTTATCTAGAACCCCTGTAGCACAAAATATGAAACTCGGTATACCGATCCAGATTCTGAAAATGGATTTTTTTCGCTTCATCTCTATACAGGGTGCCCCGAAATTAGCCTGCCAAACTTCACCAGCGGCTTCTACGACCAAAAATAGGAGGAAAAGTTACAATGAACATGAGTCAAGATATTTCTCCTAAGGAAGCTACGGCCTCCTGAAATGGGGCACCTGAGGAAGATTTTTGCTAAATTTTTTTCGAGACGTCACGTGATAAAATGATGCAATTTGGTAAATGGACTAAACTTTATATGCCCAATGCGCTGAACATAAAATCATTCCAAAGTTTCATTCAGAAGTGTATAATACAGGGTGGGACTACATTCAATGGTGCCAAAACTTTTTTTGCATGTTTATTTTTCGACAATTTAATCTCGGATTATGAAAATCCACACCGTTTCACAAAAAAAGAAGCTCCTGTTCCGCATCGATCAGATGTACATTTTTCGACTTATGTTCATTGAACCTTTTCCTTCCATTTTTGATCGTAGAAGCTGCTGGTGTAGTTTGGCAGGCTAATTTCTGGACATCCTATATACAGGGATCTATTTAAAATTCTTGACCTAAGTCGATTTCCGGTGAAACCGAAAGTGATACTCAATTGTTTTTTCATGGAAAATAGTGGTTTTAGGAACTATATCATCGTTCCGAACTTCAAAATTCTAACTTGAAGAACAATTGAATGACGTGGCCAGCATAGACAATTGAATGATAAGGCATGTTCTTTTTTACACCACATTTTTATTATTTATGGAAGTGACATCACTCTCTGATGCATCGAATTATTGGAGTCAAGGAGTCATCAGTGTTGAAAAAAGAACGCGGTTATTTGACATGACAATCACAAATGTTTTTTCCGTTATTTATTTTTCTTTTCGTGATTTGATGGGGATTTAGATTGTTTTTAATTAGAATAAGCTCAGAATTGGCGAAAACTGAAGGAAAATGGAAAAATAATGAATTAAAAGTGTTATTGGAGTCCTTGTCTCCAGATCCAGAAGCTCTAGCAGTTCTTATGATAGTTTCAAGGATGAAATATTGATTATATTGGGGAGTAGACGAGATAGCTAACAACCTATTTACAAAACATTGCAATACATTGTGATGATATGGATAAAGTCATTAATAAGAATTCTCTGTTGGTACTCAAGTTTCTTGAATGTTTGCACTAATTTCGTGTAATTCAGGAAGAGAAAGAAAAACGTACCTACCACTCGAAATTTCTTCAATTTCTGTTTATGTTAATAATGCAGTTATTCTTTTATTTTCATATTCTAGGCTGATTTCGATCAATGCATCCATATTTTTTCTCAAGCAAATGGCAAACAGCACATCCAATATTTTACGTTGCGGGGTAACGTCAAACTGGAATCCACCAAAGAATATATTAATACAGTTGTTGGATTGATGGAGCCACCGGTGAATAAAAGAACGTCCCCCTTTTGTTGCAGATGCAATCTCTGCAGCCCACTCGGCTGAACAACACGAGGAAGGCGCAAACCGAGGTGGTGTTCTTCAATCGCGTGCCCAAGGTCGGCTCGCAAACACTGATGGAGCTGATCCGTCGGCTGAGCTCGAAGAACGACTTCGGCTTTCACCAGGACAGGGTTCAGCGCGTGGAGACGATCAGGCTGTCGCTGGAGGACCAGGCCGAACTCGCCGCGCTCGTATCCAGCTATGAGCCTCCCGGCGTTTATATTAAGCACGTGTGCTTCACCAACGTTTCCAAGTGGGTAGAAAGAGTGTTTTTCTTTTCGTGGTATGATGTGAAACTGCGGCTACGGCTTTTTTCGAACACTGAACTCATTTGAAGTAAAAACAACTACGCGTCTGAACTGCCATTCTAGAAGAACTTTTTTTTTTACGAACATTTTGCAGCTGTAAATTAGGAGGAGATATTTGATTTTTTAGATTTATCTCAGTCCGAAATGGGATAATAAGTATTTTTGTAATTATGATCCGATTCTATTCAAAATTTGTATCTGGGGGTTTTCGGGGTCGGAGATTATGATTTCGAATATGGCAAAATACGTATCTGGGGTTCTCGTGGTCCGATATTATGAATCATTCGTTTAAATTTGGAGATTCGAGTGAACTTAAAAGGAGTAGCAAAAAAATCTGATAGCTAGACGATACTGATAATGTGATCCGAATGGAAAAGTCGACAAGTGATAATGGTTGCTAATCTTCAACCCATCTTTAACCCAGCTGTGATCCCTACATATTCAACTTTAGAATTAAGGTTGCGGCATAGATCTTAAAGAACGCCTAACAAATACAACTTGAATAAACTAACCCATCGGAGTGTTTTCATTATATAAGTATTAACGAAGGAATCCTAGCATGAGACAGAACCAACTAGAGAGCTTTAATATTTTTTGATGATCATCGCGGTCCCCTCGTGTTTGTTTTTTTCGATCTGTTTCGGTATGAGATTAGCTCATTCATTTAAGCTTCTGCGATTATTATAGGTCACTTTTTCTTTACTAACTTGAGAATTTATGTTTTAGCTTTGGATTACCTGAACCAATCTACATCAACTTAGTCAGAGATCCTGTCGAGAGGGTTATCTCCTGGTATTATTATGTTCGAGCGCCTTGGTATTACGTGGAAAGGAAAATTGCATTTCCAGATATACCATTACCTGACCCGAAATGGCTGAAAAAGGCGAGTATATGTTTTATAACAATACTTTATAGAAAGGACACTTCTTCTTGTTCGTCAAAGTTCCCACAAATTCTCTAGTAGGTAACTATAATATTGAAGAAATATTTATTCCTTATGAACAATATCCTCAATGAATTAGTCAAGTGCTCTCGGAGTATCTGAATGTAATAATCACACCATATTTAATTAATCATTTTGATAAATACTTCCCCATAAAAATTCCTTTGCACATGATATCATCCAAATCCCTTTGCACATGATATCATCCAGAAAATTGAAAGATATGAGCTGAGGAAGTTTATTTATTGTTATCAATTCGCAATCGGTTAACGAATGAGAAGATACATAGTTGCTCTTTGCGTTCAGTAGCCATGAGGTGAGTCCAGCTTCAGCCGGAGTCTGGACGCGCCATGAAGGAGATCAGTTTAGACTCAGCGGGCGCATATTTACATTACTGGCGCGATAGTTAGATAGTTTCAAGACAACCACCGGCGCGGTCCAGAACGAGGCGAGTTTAGCCTCAGCCGGGTGTATTTTCACGTTACTGACGCCATATTTTCGGGACAACCAGCAGTGCGGATGCAGCGCGGTCACGATTGTGGCGAGTGCAGCCTCTTCCAAGCGCATTTTCACGTTATTGGTGCATTACTAGCCAGCAGCGCGGTCATGAATACGGTGAGTTCAGCCACAGCTGTGCGCATTTTTACGTTACTGGCGCGAACGCGCCATCAAGAAGGTCAGTTCTACGAAAGCGTAGAAGCACCATATGATATATTTTTGTTATAATCGACAGAAATAACTGCCAACTAGCCTAATTGACAGATGCTAAGTGGTAAGTAGCTCACTTGACAGATACTAAGTGGTAACTATCATACTTGACTGATACTTAAGTGACAACTAGCCTAACTGACAGATACTAAGTGGTAAGTAGCCTAATTGACAATTACTAAGTTTGACCACTTAATATCTGTCAATTGGGCTAGTTGACACTTAAGTATCTAGCAAGTATGCTACTTACCACTTAGAATCTGTCAAGTATGCTACTTACCACTTAGTATCTGTCAATTAGGCTAGATACTACTTAGTATCTGTATATTATGCCAGTTGACACTCAAGTATCTGTCATTTCTGTCAAGTATACTAGTTACCATTTACTATCTGTCAAGTAGGCTTAACAGTTAGTATCTGTCAATTATGTTAGTTGACAGTTAAGTATCAGTCAAGTATACTAGTTACCACATATTATCTGTCAAGTTGGCTACTTACTACTTTGTATCTGTCAATTAGGCTAGTTGACACTCAAGTATCTGTCAAGTATACTAGTTACCACTTAGTATCTGTCAAGTAGGCTACTTACCACTTAGTATTTGTCAATTAGGCTAGTTGACAGTTATATCTGTCAATTATAAAAAAAATATCATATATTAGCGCTTCTACGCTTTTTTACAGTTCAGCCGCAGCGGGCACATTTTCACATTACTGGAGCCATATTTTGCAGTTCGGGACACAACGCGGTCGAATGTGGTGTGTTCAGCCTCAGCCGGGCGCATATTCACGTTACTGGTGTGATAGTACCAAGTAGCGCTTCAAATTTTTACAGGGTGAAACATTAAAAAACAGTAAACCTTCAAATTTCAGGATTTCGAGACTTGCGTGTTGACAGACGACCGCGAATGCCGGTACGTGCGAGGGGAGATCCGCGAAGGGATCGGCGACCATCGCAGGCAGTCGATGTTCTTCTGCGGCCACCACCACGACTGTCTGCCCTTCGACACGAGGGGTGCCCTCGAAAGGGCCAAGATGGCTGTCGAGCGGCATTACGCCGTAGTGGGGGTGCTGGAGGAGATGAACACGACGCTGACGGTGCTCGAGAAGTACGTGCCGAGGTTCTTCGAGGGGGCCAGCGACATCTATTGGAGTGAGTGTGGAATGTGGACCGCCTTCTTACTTTTCAATACAGGGTGTTTCGTTGATATTGCAAACAACTGCGAGATCGTATTTTCCGGGTCAAAATAAGAAAGTTCTTATACACAAACAGTGTTATTCATGAAGTCGGTATCATATGGGAAAAACTTTTAATGATAATTCATTCCGAAAATATGAAAAATGGACTACTCGTTCGAGATCATGTGACTTTCTCTACATGTCAAAGGTTCCATTTTTTAAATTATTCGCTGAAAATAGGCTAATTTGTATGAATTTCAAAAAAGTTCACAAAGAAAAGTTGTTTCTATTTCAATTCTACTTATTTATGTGTCTCGAAATTGGAAGTTCTATAACAACTTTGAGTTTTCGATATATTGCAATTTCTACGAAATGTCTGTAATATTGAAAAAAATTAACGCCGACAAAACTATCTCATTTTAGTAGCTTATTCATCATGATACCAACTTTCAATCACTGATTATCGACAGATATATGATTTCCTTCAGAAACTATAGTACCTAATCCCCGCTTCAAATTTGATGTATCGTATATCATTCATGTAGCGAACTTTATTTAAATATATTTGTTCATTTCTATATCATCAGTCATCTATCAAAATATCATCAAACTACCTTATTATTACGTATTAATAACGAAAGTTATTTAGGAGTTTTGCGACAATAATGTATTGTAAAAATCCCTTCCACATCAATATATTACTGTATGAGTAATGTTTACGAAAATACGGTGGAAAGTTGAGAGTTGTACCTTGGTCCGCTGATAATAGCGTTAATACTAATCAGGTTATTGTTATCTCCTATTTTTCTGCTTCTTTCGTTTTCTTTCCCTATGAAGTATTTGGCAACAGTGCTTCCTTCGGGTTTGTTCGGAGACTGTGGGTGTATCGAAATGTGGGGCTAACGAAATGTGGGCATATCGAAATGTGGGCACAAAGCAGCGCACCACCATGGGCGTTCCATATTTTTTTTCTGAAGGGCATAATTCATTTTATGGGGTTCAAATAATGCAGGAAAATTTCAAGAAAACGTACATATCGCACGTCCTGATAGGTACCTGAAAGCTAATTGAATTTCTTGTTTTTTTCAGATGAGATTAGTCGGTATACGCCAATCAACAAGAATGCGTTCAAACCACCAGTCAGCGAAGAAGTGAAGAATATAGTAAGAAGAAACTTCACGAGAGAGATAGAATTTTACGAGTTTTGCAAACAAAGACTTCATAAACAGTATTTAGCTTTAAAATTATAGGGTGACACAAATAAGTATAAACATCATCTTATTATCATGAAACTCAAATCAAGTGATTAGGCGTTATTATTGTATAAGACACAGATTTCTCAACAATTTTGTGTACTTAGAGAGGTACCTCTACTATTACGGAAATCATCAATTCCTGTTAATAACAGAAATGTTACACGTTTATGCATAGACCATTGGAAAATGTTTCATATTCTATATTGTGAAAAAATATTTCCTCTTGTTGAAAGGCTGATTATTTGTACCTATTTATTTCATCATGTTATTATATTCAGGTTTATGCAAATGGAGGATAATTCAGCATACCAAAGGTTTTCTCAAAATATCAACAAATCCGATAATTATTATTATTATTAGGTACCTTCTAATAAAAGTTACTAGACTGATTATTTGTTCAGGATTTTATGCATATTCTGGTGAAAGAACTAGAGTCAAAATGAAAGAGTTTGTTGTTAAATATTGTTATATCTAGAGCTGGTTACTAATTTGAAACAAATACAATGAAGTAAAATATAAATAAAGCTCAAGTATACAGGGCGTTTCATGAGAAGACTCACATAGCCAAATGGTTAATAGGGGAAATCAAGACGAGTTGATGTATATATATGAAAATATTTTTTGACCCTCCATAACGAAGATACAGGGTACTATGTGAAATTGCTATATAAACTTTGATGGTCGATATTACAGAAATGATTCGTCGTAATCTGCTGAAATTTGGCAGCGTCGTATCTCTACTGAAACTATTCAAGATAACATATTATGAAAAAAAAAATTCAGGTCCGGACTTGGGAAAATTTTATGATTCATTATTATGTCAAAAAAGTTCACTTTGTGACCACTTTTCTCGACAAATTCCGTCAGATTCAGAAAGATCAGACAAAATGCTATAAGAACTGCTCTTCAATTCACACGGCACACTTTGACCGGTTCAATGAAAAAATATGGAACAAAAACGTTCGAATGAATTTTCAATTTCGACCTCTGGCTGATAACTGTCAAAATGTTTTCATGTATATATACATCAACTCGTCTTGATTTCCCCTATTGACCATTTGGCTATGTGGGTCTACTCATGAAACACCCTGTATAAGCCATTCGTTTTGATTTTATTGTATCTCATTTGCATATTCGAACCAGCTTTAGAAAAATGGTTACATATACTTGATCATTTAATTACTAATAAAAAATATTGTTTTGATGTGATATTATAATGTATAATTATAAATTTCTTCTTCTACCAACGAATATTTTATTTTTCCATTCACGTGTTTCAAATTTCGAAATTTTGATGAATCAAAATGCGACAATATCGCTGTCAATGATGTCATCAAACTTTCCAAGAATTGAGATTTTTTTTAAAATCATCCTTATGAGTATACAGGGTATATGTCACGACGAGCTTACACTATTTCTATATCGAGAATCACTCGTGAGAAATCCAGGAAAATATGCATGTTTATATTTTAGAATACGCTCTCTTCATTTAATATATTTTCAGCAATGCAGTGTTGCCTCTTCTATCAAAAAGTAGCAACAACTTTTTTATTTCAAATGAAATACACTGTATTTTATTGCATTTTTAGATTCTCTCATCGATACATCACGCACTTACCTACAGGCTCTCTTAACGACACAAACTCGCTTACGATAAAATTGAATTATATTTAATACAGTGTGTCCCACTTACCATGCTCACCATGGGTATCTTTTTAACGGTGAGAGATACGAGGTCGGTCAAATGACACCAAATGTGGAATTTGTCAAGGCCAACTATAATGTGAAAAAATATTTTGATAAAATCCATTCGTTTTTGTTTTAGACGCAAAAAACAGATTTTGATCATTTTCATGTCTCCTCCGTAACTTCTTTATTTATGAAAATATTACTATATGACTTAGTTACAAATAACTTTTTTTTCTCTCACAAATGATATGTCGCAGTAATAGTTTTGTGTTGATATCAACGGAGTTTTATCGTCGATCATTTATACAAAAATAAAAAATTATTCGGAAGCCACCATCTTGAATTTATAAATTTTAACAAAAAAATCATGATCTTCGACTTCAAAAACCCCCACTTACCAATTTTGAATGGAATCGGACCAAATCTTGTCCGCCATATATCTTGGAGCAGCCATTTTTCTTAATTGATGGCGGACAAGATTTGGTCCGATTCCATTTAAAATTGGTAAGTGGGGGTTTTTGGGGTCGGAGATCATGATTTTTTTTTGTTAAAATTTATAACTTCAAGATGGCGGCTTCCGAATAATTTTTTGTTTTTGTATAAATTACGATAACTCCGTTGTTATCAACACAAAACTATTACTGCGACACACCATCTGTGAGAGAAAAAAAAGTTATTTGTAACTAAGTCATAGTGAGCTATGACCTAAATTTGAAAAACTAAAGTTGGTGCTGATTTCTCAAATTCTAGAAGAGTTGGTATAAATTTCATATTTTTTTCGAAATCACTTTGAAAAACTGCCATGAGAATGTGAAATTCCTATTTGAATATTTTCATAAATAAAGAAGTTACGGAGGAGACATGAAAATGATTAAAATCTGTTTTTTGCGTATAAAACAAAAACGAATAGATTTTATCAAAATATTCTTTCACATTATAGTTGGCCTTGACAAACTCCATATTTGGTGTCATTTAACCGACCTCGTATCTCTCACGGTTAAAAAGATACCCATGGTGAGCATCGTAAGTGGGACACACTGTATATAAATTGAATATAAGTTATTTCTATGACCAGTATTTTCATGGTGCTTATCAGTGGAGGAGAGAGTACTTAAGTACCTCTACTTCTTCATCTGCTGGAGAAAAATGAAAAACTTTGACATGGTTGATTGGGACACATGAAATACGACCATATCAAAACATTTGGAATATAGGTAGGTACCTATCAGAATATAATCAAATATTTTGAAATAGGTATATTTTGAATCTCGCGCAACTCCAATAACAATGTATCGACAAAATAAATACAAATACAACATACGAGTAAATACGATTCATATATCTCTGTCAACAATGATCAATCTCTGGTAAATATATGTCACTCTTATAAAATCATACAATTATTATCTCTATAACAATTAATAGTCTTCGTAGAAATACTACTTCATAAAATATATATGGGCTCTCTGTAAACACAAAAATAAAAACGACAGTACTAGAAAGACGACGATCGTCATCGGGTTAGACCTTTCTTTTTGCGCAGGCGCAGCAGTCCCCTTCGTAGCTAAACTCGCCATGATCCGATCTTGCAGCTCCAGCCGAGTCGATTCTATCCCATGGCTAGATACACATCTAGATTAGAAGATTTCTATGGGTGTGGCAGCAATGCACAACCCTGGCTTTTTAATGTGTGAGGTGAAATGTGTGATTATGTTCCTGGAATAATACGGTTTTCTGGAATATCAATTCATTTTTCAAACGATCATGCAAAACTGGAATCTATAATTATTTATTGAAATATAACTTTGATAATCACGAGTAATAATTGTCCGGAAATGAGAGATAAAAAATCTTTGTCTTTCCCTTCCATTCTGCCCTTATTGTGCCAATGTAAAATAATAAAAAATCATGTTGGTAACACTACTGAACAGTCTTCCTCTCTAACTCTTCTCATTTTCAGTATTATTGACATGAAATTTTTATTATTTTACGTTGGAACCCTGACAAAGTTGAAAACATGGAGTAAATCGCATGTTGAGAACAATGTGTGATAATTCAGATTTCTCATTCACCGCGAAAAGTATATTTAGTTCAAATTATATTATTATGCCATAAACTTACATGGGGAATTTTCACTCATAATATTTTCACTTATTTTTTCTTTAATTTTTCATGAAAAAGTTTCGACATGTTAACAGTTTTGATTCATCATATTCGATAATTATTAGAGATGTCAGCCTGAAAAGGAACAATTTTCTGAAATGTTACATCTCAAGAAATTGCCTTATAACATATGTATCATAGGTATTTTTCTTCATTTATAGACCCCATTATAATCATGACTGGATTTATTGAAGATGTGCTCTGAGTTCCTATCATTTCAGCAAAATCCAAATCGTGCCCTTCGGTTGCTGAACATTCCGCTTTTGGCAGTTTTTCTATTTTCTTTAGTTTCTGAATAGAAACAAACGGGTATTTGCAAAAGACTAATTTTTAGTTAAATAGCAATAAGTTTGGGAAGATAATAAGTGAATATAGCCCAGCGAGCACAAACATATCCCTGGGATGTTCTGGGATGTTTTGAAAATGTTGGCATGAAGATGTTATTTTGAGACGTAATATGCACTGACCAAAGAGGTCTTTGAAGGATATTGAAGTATTGTTTTTGTTCTTCTGTGGCATTTTTTTGTTTGCCTACTGAGAGGTCTCCCTGGGATGTTTTGGGATGTTTTAGAAATGTAGGCATGAGGATGTTTTTTTGAGGCGTAATATGCACTTCCCAAAGAGGTCTTAGAAGGATATTGGAAGTATTGTTCTTGTTCTTTTGTTCCCTTTCTTTGTTTGCCCCACCACAACGTCTCATGCTTACGTCACAATACGATGAATTCTGATTTGTTTTCGATTTTGTTCTTCTTGTTCGCAATTGGAATTCGCGTTTGCATCGTGTCACGCTTACATCACGCTGCTAACGAACAGAAAGGAATTTGGTGAAGTTTATTATTGTGTTAGAAGATTTACCTATTTAGTTTGTAATAATGACCATCAGATGCAAGATGTGTTGTTCGGTGCCTCAGTGTAATCAATATATAAAAGTACGAATTTATCAATACACAGCTTCTCCGTAGTTGCAAAATTATGCATTGTGGAGAACATTTCAAAAATTGGGAAACCTATTTCCAATTATATGTCTGTGTGTAGTAAGCACTACTCAGAAACCAATTAAGCAGGTAATTTCATATCAAGAAAATATTTTTATGTTCAATCTATTTTTAATGCATTTTTTCATTCAAGGGAAATGGAATCCTAATACAAAAGTTCATTTCGACAAAAGGCTTCAGAAAAGTACCTCGAAAATGATTTTTTTACAGCGATTTAATGTGCGCAAGACGCGTTGAAAATGGTCTGCTGTGTCCATGAAAAGGCTTTAAAAAGAACTAGGGAGAAGGTAGTTTTGTGACATATCAAGGACATCTCGATAATTGCCGCCTGCGGCGGACATTGGCTGTTCTATAATAGTTCTATTCATGTGTGAACAGAACATCGTAGTGGAGGTTCAATGCCTCGAAATCTCGTACTTTTAACATCTCTGAGATGTTTTTGTGCTCGCTGGGAGGTGTTGGTAAATTTTCTGAAAGAAGGATGAAATACCTATAATGAATGAAATTTAAATTTAAATCTATTCTTGGGGATTCTTCCAAACAGACATTTTTTCAAATGTTTAATCCGAAGGAATTATAATATATTTTTCAAAATTGGAATTTATACATAAGGTGGAGCTTGATATTTCATGCAAAGAGAAATATTTAAATCACATGAATTCGAAAGTTTCATTCTATAGTTTTGTATTTCTTCTTTTTATTTTTAGGGGCTATCTTCTTGTTGTTCTATTATTTCAATCTTTCTGCAGAAGCTCGTATTATCAACTCCATTTTATTAAGTGCAGCGTATGCAATAATGTGACAAATCTAAATATTCCATATTGTTAACATTACTACTCAAAAATTTGTTGCATTCAATTTTCCATTTCATTTAATGATGAGAATGTAATAACGTGACAACTCGAACAATTTCAAATTGTGTTCAATCAAAAAGGTCACTTAATGACTTTTGTCACATTACCCAGTTAACACAAACATCTATGAGATGTCGCATTCATGGCAGTTGATGTCACAAAAGCGAATCACAATATTGCATCGCTGATGATATCTACAAGGAATTCCTTGTGTGACAGATAGTTCGCAAATTTCATCACATTCTGTTGGATCTGAGACCAATATGGATATAATATTTATGAGGCCCCTTAACTTCACAACGACTATAATTTCAGAATCTGAAATTTCAGTCGTTGAGAGTCATAATTTGATGTATCTGAATTGACAAACTGATTCACATTGTGTAGAATGAAGAAACGAAAATATGCTTCAATATGTGAATCTCTCTCACATCTCAAGGAAATTCATTTATGAAAGTAATATCGAACAATACTTGGAAATATCAGTGTACTCGCATACTCATGAATGTAGCGCACAATGTGACTTATGTAAAGTTTCGTACACACTCGGTCAGTGTCGGTCTGACTGATGATGTACACGTGTCTGTAAATTCTTTAGCGACGGCATGCTTTTGTCTCGTCCATTTCGTTGTTTCAGTGCATTAGTTAGTTCATTCGGTGTTGGTATGCAGTTCGTGTTTGGCGTTATTGCTTAAACTGAATAAGCATCTCTTTCTAATCGAAAATCATGGTTGTGATTAAAGATACTGTGTGTTTCTCATCTAAGTTACAGGGTAAGTAATACTACAACGTTCATAACTTGATACAATAATATACCTATATACTGGTTGACAATGAAGACAGGGTAGACGACACCACGTCGCCATTTCAAGACTATATGATGATACTTACAATGATACCTTGGAATATATCATTTTGGGATCAGGGTATAAGTGAACATGCATATTCTGATTGTATATTGGGAAAGTCTGATTAAGAACAAAATTATTGCAAAATATTATGAATGGAAGGAAAAAATGCGCCGCAGCTATTCTCTATCTTCTTTGTCACCCGGTATAGAACAGTAGGTATGCAGTGTGATTTCATCTTCTCATAAATAATTTCAATCTTACACGACTCCACGTAGATATGAAAGTGACTTGAACATTTTTCAATACTCTCATTATGGTTCTCTACTCACTCTCTATAAGATATTCTGAACAGGAAATGGGCAAAATGAAATCAATTGATTGTTTCTATATTCATTTTCAGATGTCAAATCACAAAAGTCATCTGGACAACCTTGGAACAATTTGAAATTCTGAGCAGGGATTGGTTACCATGCTACAACGGAAGGAGAGATGAGGAGCAAATATTGGATTCTCTTGTGTTACTTTCAGTTCTCCATATTCATCGCGTTAACTCATGGAGATATATAACCCTGTATAATTATTCGAAAAAGTCTAGGCCTTCAATAAAATCGAGTTGCCTTGTGAAACCCTTGATTGATCTATTTGACAGAGATTCGAGACCGATTAGTTCTCTCATTGAATACCTTCATCAATCTAGATGTGATTTCACTTGAGACATCAAAAATCAATGTGTATGTAGCATTTCTGAGACGCACAATATGATTCTTCCAGGAGGGACGCTACGATACCAGTATAATAATCGAAAAGAACCTCACATTCAGAAATGGTCGATGGTCTTCTGAACCTCACATTCTGATTATAATGTGACCTCAATGTGAGTCTCATTTCAACGTGATATCTGGAGTCACATTCAGCTAACTTTTGAGTCCCATTCGGCATCTAAATGTGAAGCGAAAAATGACCAAAAGGGTCCGGAATAGAGGATCTGGAGATGTCGACGTGATTCACAAATCGAATCGCGGGTGTGATCTCAATCATGAATGTGAAGTGTACTGACGTCTCTGAGATCAATTTGTGTTAACTGGGTATTTATATCATAAAAATTTCCTCAGAGTCAGAATACGAGGCGTATCCTACGAGGTTTAGGTGACATCGCAAAAAGTCACTTTCTTGCTCGGCTGTAGTACCTACCTACTTCTCCTCTAGTGCAATAACGTGACAGCGATATCACGCAGCAGCTATTGGACCTAGAGATGTCACGATATTCTAGAAGTGTAGAGCTGAAATTTGTTATCCGACGGTGATTCCAACTGAAAAATCAAGTTTTTTGAGTTGTCACACTATTGTTCTCAACGTGCGAAATATGCAGAGTGAATTTATCGGTTGGGGAATTTTTACTCCACCTTGCATTCTCATGCCAGAGGCAATAAACTACGTAAACAAGAATTTGCATTACTCCCTTGCAAAAAATATACACCAAACCAACTATACTATAGAAGGATAGTAAGTGAATGTAAAAAAATTGCCGGATTGAACTAAAGGTTCTATCGAAGATATTCGAAAAAAATGATGTAGAATATTTGAACAAATAAAAATACTCAAGTTATCTGAAGACTTGACGTTTTCGTACTCTCACTTTATGACCAATTCTTACATTGACAGAGAAGATATTGTCGGAAGAAGGCAAGAAGTATACGGAGTGACACAGGAGACATGTATAACAGCCTGTATTTTTTTTAGTTTAAGAGATAAAAAAATTCAATTCACAAGGGTTATATTATCGATAATGGAGATTCCTTTGAACCCAATGAAATTTTTTTTCAACCACCTGTTTGATTGGAAGTAGACCCAACTTTTTTTTTCAAACGGCACAAAATGTATATTTCTGTATCTTATTCGCCTTGGAATTCTCTATTCAACTATGTAGGTATCACAATTCGATATTCGTTCATCAATCGGCTGTTAAATTGCATTTTATTGAAATACATGAAGATGGCTGTTGCCCGAATACAATGACATTCTTGATAGGCTTAGAAATCCAAAGATCATAATACTTGACGATATTATCAGAATATTTTCCATACCCTAATCGGTCCCAGAAGATTGCCAATAATTTCATTGAGTTTAAAAAAATCATCCGAAAATAACTCACGATATAAGGGACATACATAAATTATTACAACCATTTTCAGTCGGGGACCTTTCACTTTTCTATCGATACTTCCACGGGAAATGTTCTTCGGAAATCTCTGCTATCATCCCTTCACTAGCAATACCAGTCAGACGAACTAGACAAGCCCAGTCAGCACATCCCTTCGTTGTCAACCTCGAAAGATGCCGAACAGCACTTTATCAAAACTCCTTCATCCATAGAACGGCTGGGCTCTGGAATTCATTGCCTGAGGAAGTATTCCCAACAACATATAATCTCCAGAAGTTCAAAAAAAATTCCAATACCTACCTCCTATCCCTATCCTCCCTAGGAACGCACGATGTTCTTTGAACATTATAGGGATTCCCTCTCGTGCGCTCCAAGCGATAAAAAAAAAAAAAAAAAAAAAAAGTTTCGTGTATCCAAATGGATGATCATATTATGGCTACATGGCAAAAATGAAAGACAAATAGTTTCTTCACACGTAGCAAATGAAATAAACTGAGTTTTTATCTCAGTTTTATCAATATCGTGAGTTATTTTCAGATGATTTTTTTAAACTCAATGAAATTATTGGCAATCGTCTGGGACCGCTTAGGGCATGGAAAATATTCTGATAATATCGTCTAAGTAATGATCTTTGTATTTCTAAGCCTGTCAAGCATTGAAATGTCATTGCATTCGGGCCTCAGCCAACTTCATGTATTTCAATAAAATGCAAAAGCCAAATAATGAACGAATATCAAATTGTGATACATAGTTGAATAGACAATTTCAAGGCAAATAAGAAAGGCTACAGAAATATACAGAATGTCATTCGAAGAAAAAAAGTTGCGTCTACTTTCGATCAAACAGGTGGTTGAAGAAAATGGTCATTGGGTTCAAGGGAAGCGCCATTATCGATATTATAACCCTTGTGAATTTCAACTTTTTATCTCTTCAAATAAAAAAAGCTGTTACATGGTCGCCTGTGTCACCCAGTATATTTATCAGTTCTACCAACCCTGACCTCACGATTCAGTTCCAGCGTTTTGGTGGACATCAATAAATGATTATAGCCCTCATTCATAGAAAAGTACGTTTTTTCAATATTCAGGTCATGAGAAAAATAGTAAAAAATATATGTCTAAAAAACGAACAAAACCGATCATTCACGAGAATAGCAAAAGAAAAAAAAAAGGTTTGCATATCTGCCAACAAATATGTAATCGAAATGAAAAAATCAGAAAAATAATCAATCCTGTACAGGGTAGTGAGTCAAAAATGTGTACCGAGCTTTCTGGAGGTGATATTACATTAAAAAATAAGTATAGTTTGATGATTAAACTGATGGCCCAAAATGTATATTAAGGAGAAAAATCATGACCCACCCTCTAAAAACACCCGTTATAACAATTTCAGAAATGTAGAAGGTATCAGAAAAATGTATTTTATCAACATATATTTATACAGGAAAATCCAATCTAGTGGCTTTAACCGTTTAAAAGTTTTGCAGGAAAATTATTTGAATTTTAACAACTTTTGAACCATTATAGTTTATTCATCAAATTACATACACTTATTTTTCAATGTACTCTATCACCTTCGTAAAGCTCGGTACACATTTTCGACTCACCCTGTATACAATATGAGTCCACATTACCTACTATAGATACATAAGGCAATGGTTTATGCACACACTCAGAAATTGAAATTGATACTGTCAGAACTTTTCAATACCGATTTGAAAAATGTATATGAACCTCTCAGTAACACAGACTTATTATTCCCAAGAAGATAAATAGTTATTTATTATACAAGGGGAAAAAGTAGTAGATTTTAGCTCCAGGTTGTGTAGTCTCCGGACGCGTAGCGGAGGGAGACAAAAAACCGTGAGCTAAAATCTAATATTTTTCCCGTGTATAACACTATTTTTTTCTGTGACAGAAGAAAGACCGAATCAATATTGAGAAGATATCACATTATTTTGAAATCTGAAGATTATCGTCGTGAAATTTTAAGTTTTTAACAGTAGGGACACCTGCGTTGTAGGCATCTTTATCATTCTTTTGAAGTAATCAAATATCTGATGTCACTTCTGTCAGTCTAATTCTGTGATTTGATTTAAAAAAATTGCGAATTTAGTGGTTGTTCAGTAATACACATAACCGCGAAGTCGAATGGAAGATAAAAGGACTTGCAGTTCTTTCTCGGAGACGGTATTATTGACTCATTTTTCGGAACTATAGCACAACAAAAGCCATCAACAGTGTATATATTTGTGATATATATCCGGGAAAGAAGTACTCACTTTTTTCCCACGGGAAAAAAGTAATTTATGAAAAGTGACATTTTATAACATGCCAACAGAGATGAAATGCCAAACTTTTTTCCCGTCACAGAAAAAACCATATTTGTTTATAGCTCCAAAGATTTTCCGTAAGGATGACAAAGACGTCAAATCGAACCTACTTGCCAATGAGATACACTGTACTGGCATTATTATTTCTGTGGACACTACAAGACATTTCGATTTCAATTGCAATTTCATTTTATTTAGTGACGTTCATTATATTTATTGATAAAACATTGTTTTTTAACATTTTCTGACGCATCCTATATCATACATGTCTGTTTGCACCTTTCATATGGATATGTCTCGATCTGAAAGGAATAAAAGAAATTTTGAATTTTATTGAATTTTATTGGATTTTATTGAATTTTATTGAATTTTATTGAATTTTATTGAATTTTATTGAATTTTATTGAATTTTATTGAATTTTATTGAATTTTATTGAATTTTATTGAATTTTATTGAATTTTATTGAATTTTATTGAATTTTGGATTTAACCTCGGCGAAATACCCTCCTTTCCTTAGTTAGACGTATGATCAGACAGTAATTCCTGGTATAAGATCAATCATGAAGTATTATCGACTGTTGTATAATTGAAATTACAAATAGTGAACAAACCTTACATATCATTGAGATATCTCAAAATAACAGTCATATTATAGTGAACAAGAAGGGAAAAAACAGTGATGAAAAAAAAAGGAAATTCATAGTCTTTCAGCTTTGATCATTCCTTTGCATATAAATATATTTCTTCACTCTATTTTTGAATTGTATAATATTTGGGCTGTTCTTGATATCTTTATTCATTTTGCCAAGAATAAATTGGAAACATCAAATTTAGCTTTCAATGAAGTCAATACAGTCCATAATTATGGGACTAGACAAGTGAATTACTTGATAGCAAATACATTCAAGTCAAACATTGGCAAACAATCTGTTTTTCACAATGGAATAATTTTATACAATTCATTACCGAATGAGTTGAAAAATATACATGATGCAAGAAGGTTTAAAATCAATCTTAAAAAATACTTGCTCAGGACAATTTGAATGAAAAATATGTGGCATGATTTGATTACTTAGGAATGAAATATAACTTTAATCTTAAGAAACAATATTAATTCGTTACCACTGAGTGGAATTTATTAGTTAAACCTTTATTATTATTTTTTTATATGTATTCATGTATCCCTATCATAAACCAAAATGTTTCTTGGGGTAATAAAGACAATCAATCAATCAATCAATCTGGAAATTTATTGAATTCCGAAATCGCCTTATGTGTAAACTTTTTTGTCCAAGTTTAGAATTTGCAGCTTCAATATGAAACAAATTATATTGTCTAGTATGATGACCATGAATTTGGGAATTCCTAATTAATATAAAATTCGATTTAAGCTTTTTGTTGATAATAAAATAGGAAATTTTGAGAGTATTGTTCAAAAAGTGCTCTTCCAAAGAAAATGTGTTTGTTTCCTCATACAATTGATTCGTTGGAGTATCATATGAAACTCTCGACTGATTCATTATACCCCATATAGTGCACTTAACCTCGTTTGACGGTACCGACATAGTCGATACACGAAAAAGCCTGTGATACTTTCAAACGTTGAAATAAAACATTCCTCCTAACTCCACACATATCTTCCTTTGATATATACTCACTAGCAAAAACTGGCCCCCCAATCATCGGCGGCTATGGAGGGCGGATCCACGGTCGATCGATTGCTCGTCGGCAGGCACTGGAAGCAATAGTTGGCCCCCCTGTTACTGTCCCAGTACTGGCAGCCTTTGCACTGGAACCGACAGGCGAACTCCAATCGCTGGCCCACCGACAGGGTGTGCGCGTAAAGTAAGAATGCGAACTTGAAAGGAAGAAAGAGAAAAAAATCTTATGAAAATAATAATTTAGTCGTACAAGAACTTATAATCGTTACTAGCTGACCCGGCAAACGTTGTTTTGCCATAACATTATTTCTAGAAAAAATGTTTTTACATAAATATTCATCAAAGAACTTTCATTATTTTATTTATACTTCTTTTTAGTTCGGCCATCCATGAAAACGGGATTCTTTAGTTCTATTCTACTTATTCTCTACTTCTTTTTAGTTCGGCACTCTATATTTATTTATTTATTTATTGAAAATGTTACTTTCAGTCAGAATCAAGTTCTGGTATAAGGAAGTATAGTTAACAATAATACCTAAAACAATACAATTATAATAAACTAATAAATAATAAAATAATTGAAAACATTAATTATCAAATTTTGACAAATCATTTCATATTGGTGAGCAAAAATCAATTTGAATATGAATCAAAAGTTGAGAAAAAAAAAGTCATCTATTTCGTTCAGAAATGATAAATTTTTCAAGATGGTATTTGAATTTTATTGTATTTCTGCAATTTTTTATATTATCTGGTAATTTGTTATATTCCAAGAGAGCAGCGTGGGTGAATCTTTTTTGGCCTATAGAAGTATTAGCGATATCAAGATGAAATAAACCATGTTGTCTAGTTTGATAATTATGATTTTCATTGTTTCGTCTTAAAATAAAATTAGATTTCAATCTTTTATTTACTACTACCTTCTTTTTAGTTGGGCTGTCTATAAAAACGTGTTTCATTAGGTTTTCAAACTACTATTTATTACAATAGCTGATGCTGATACCTGACAGAAGTTGTTTTGCTATATACATTTTCTTCTATATAGAAAATAGTATTTTAGTTACACACTTTTATTTTTTTTTTCAACTTCTTTTTAGTTTGGATATCCATGAAATCGTGTTTCATTAGTATTTCAAACTATACTATTTGCATTTTCTACTTCTTTTTAGTTCTACAATCTATCTCGTTTTTTAAACTTTACTATCAATTTTCTACTTCTAATCAGTTTGGCCTCGAATTTGGCTATCTATAGAAGCGTGTTTCATTATAGTTTTTCAAACTACTATTTATTACAAAGCTCTTTCACCATATTGATGGATCCACCATCTTGAATTTCCCAATTTTTAATAATAAAATCATGATCTCCGACCCCGAAAACCCCTAGATACAGATTTTGAATAGAATTGGATCATAATTACAAAACTCGTCCGCCATATATTGAATCCTCCATCTTCAATGCCCTAATTTTGATGAAAGAATCATAATCTCCGACCCGAAAATCACCCAGATACAAATTTTGTATGGAATCGGATCATAGTTACAAAACTCGTTCGCCATATAAGATCCGCCATCTTGAATTTCCAAATTTTGACAAAAGAATCATTATCTTAAATCTTCAAAATTTTACGAAAGAATCATAATCTCCGACCCCGAAAACCCCCAAATACCAATTTTGAATTAAATCGGATAACAATACTCGTCCGTCATATTGGATCCGCCATCTTGAATTTTCGATTTAAAAAATAGATTACGACCGATTCTCATATCTACCGAATAAACACAAAAAAATTCATACGAATCGGTCGAGCCGTTTCGGAGGAGTTCGACCACTAGTTTCGTTTGAGACTTTTTGAGTAAAAGGGTTACTCTAATACTGATCGAATAAAGAACAATTTTTGAACTTGGTTTTATTCAGCATAAGCTGGTAAGTATTACAGAAAAAGACTTCAATCTAACTAAAAATGAAAATCGTTCCTTTTATAAATTCAGTGAAAACAATGAAAACTAATAAATTGATATTTCACGACAATAATTCAGAGTTGCAAAGATAATTTCTGGTATGAAAGATAAAAGGTGAACATAATGCAAACTAATAAAAACTACAAGATAAATAACGGGGAGAATCCTTAGCCAGCTTCTACCGGTGTTTATCAATAAAGGTGATCCGGCACATGGACTCCAGTGGCGGCGTCTGGATATGCTTTGGCAGGGGTTTATATGTAACTCACTAACACCGTGACCGAGACAGGCGAATTTTATATGTACCTATATTAGATATAGACGAGAACATGATCTGAAATCTTTAGGCTCAGTTTCAACAAACGAACCTTGATCTAATTTCTATTAAACTCAACTTAGTAGTCCTGCAGACGATATAAATAAACGAAATCAAGATTAGGTCATCAAACTCATTGACACTTCATGTGGCATTACGATTCGGCCGACTGGGAAGAACCTCGTATGTTTTTTTTCAGCGTTTCCATGGAAGAGAGTTTGTTTCTCCTCAGCAGATCCAACACGATATGCTGAGACAATTTCTGGAATCCTCAAGTTGGGGATGCAGACCTACATACCGAACACTGCAAGGAGAACATCTTCCGATAAGGCCTGGTTCAGTAGAAACTGCTCTAGAGCTGTCGCTTCCAAACAGGCAGCATTCCATTGATGGCAGAAGAATCCAGGCCCTGAGACTATACCTTTTCAACTTCAATTTCGGAATCGGTGAGTTATATTTCGGAAAAAGTAATCTCGATTTCAGAATTGGTTAGTTCGATTTCAGAAATGGTGAACTCAATTTCAGAATCGGTGAGATGAATTTCAGAAAAAGTCCATTCAGTTTCAGAAATGGTAAGTTGTATTTCAGAATTGGTAGGTTCAATTTCAGAAGATGAATCCTTATATATGTTTGAAATGTTTTCAATTGCAAAAGAGAGGATTGTTTACAGTGGATGGAACGGTGTTTGCGAGTGTGCGTTTGAAATGGGCATCCTGCAGATACCATAGTGGTAGTTCTGGATAACGCACCTGCACATTCAAGAATAGAAGAGATATGCATGGAGGAAGAATTTCAAGATGTTATATTTTACAGATCGGCACCTTACAGCCCTATGTTTAATCCGATTGAACATATATGGAGTGCCTTCAAGTCAGAAGGGAAGAGCTTTTTGCAAGAGCATCGCCAGAGGGTCATAGCTGGGGATCCGAACAGATTGCTCAACCAGATAGAATTCAGACTGCGATGTCTTGAAGAATGTGCAGATCATTCAATGAAAATGATAACACCTCAAATGTGTTTGCATTCTTATAATCATGTGCTACGCTACTATCCTATAATGCGTTACCTGACGATATCAAGAATATACCTATTATAATAAAGTTCAAATCATCTCTCATCAAACATATAAATGATAGAAAAACCTATACAAAATGACCTCATTCTTGAAATTATTATCAGCTTATCAGATTATCATATTGTCGTCTTAATAGGAGTGACCAAATTTTGATAAAATTTTGAAATCAGTATGATCATCTATTCAGTATATCTATTCATTAATTGATCATATTTATTATATTATAATTATAATATTAATTTCATTACCTTTCTCTTTGTTATCTTCACAAGGTTTCTGTAATATTTTCCGAGATATTTCCTTCACATGTATGTATTATCTTCATGATAAATAAAATCCTATCAATCAATCAATCAATCCTTCTGCGATTCGGATGGAAGACATCTGTGGATCAAATTGAGATTATAATTATGTTATTGAATTGTTTTTGAAAAGTTGAATATTGTAAATATGGTTTGTTAATCTCACATGCAATTGGAAGCATTTCAAACAAATATAAGGATTTATTTTCTGAAATTGAACCTACCAATTCTGAAATACAACTTACCATTTCTGAAATTGAATGGACCTTCTCTGAAATTCATCTCACCGACTCTGAAATGGAGTTTACCATTTCTGAAATTGAACTAACCAATTCTGAAATCGAGATTACTTTTTCGAAATATAACTTACCAATTCCGAAATTGAAGTTGAAAAGGTATAGAGCAGATCGAATATGTCGAGGCTAGAGGCATATGCAATGAGACAATTCGATCATCAAAGGATGCTCATAATGCCAAAATAAGATCAGAATTTGTCGAATGTCCAAACGGATCCCGTTCATTTTGGTCCTTCGCCAAAGCTGTCGGAAGAAACTTCACTTCCAGCTCGTTTCCTCCTCCAACCAAGGAAGATGGAACACTAGCCACAACTGCCCAGGAGAAAGCCAACATTTTTGCGCATTCATTTGCTGGAAACTCCACGCTGGATTCATCGGGGAAAACAACCTTCAAACATAACGCCAATTGACAGTCATATGCCCGAGATCACCTTTCGCCAACGTACTATAAGGGAGATTTTATTGGGTCTCAACACCAACAAAGCTTGTGGCTTCGACGGAATCCCACCGATTGTTCTCAAGAAATGTGCTTACGAACTAACACCTGTTCTCTGCAAGTTGTTCAACTACTCTTACAAATTGGGGATATTCCCGTCCAACTGGAAAATTGCAAGAGTACAACCAGTTCCTAAAAAAGGCAAAAAGACCCTACCTAGCAACTACAGACCGATCGCACTGCTATCTATTATTTCAAAGATCATGGAGAAAGCTATCAACATCGAGCTCATGAAATACCTGGAACATTCAGGTATTATCAACGATATATAGCTTCCGTCATCAGAGATCAACTGGTGACCTGCTCGCTTACGTCTCACATATATGGCAGCAATCTATTCAAAAATATGGTGAAACCTTAGCCGTAGCACTTGATATCTCCAAGGCATTCGATCGAGTCTGGCACCACGGACTCCTCGCCAAGCTTCCATCTGATGGCTTGCCTCCCCAGCTATGTTCTCTGCTAGCTAGTTTTCTCTCAAACAGGTCTCTCCATGTAGTGGTCGACGGAGTTTCATCTGACTCTCTTATCATAAATGCTGGTGTTCCGCAAGGATCAAATCTAGCACCAACACTATTTCTACTCCATATCAACGATTTGTTGAATGCAACTTCATGTCCAGTACACAGCTTCGCGGATGATAGTACCCTCCATACAGCCTTCTCTTCCAGGGCTCCAATACCAGCCAGGCAAATCAGAAAAGAACGCGGGAGAAATGTTGACAACATAAATATGGACTTGGCAAAAATTCTCGAACGGCGATCCAATAACTTGGTAGATTTCAATGCAAACAAAACACAAGCATGCCTTTTTTCTAGAGAGCCGATCTCACTGTGCCCAACATAAGCTTGTCAGGAGTAACCATACCTTTGAAGACATCCATTTCGATGCTTGGTACTACTATCTCTTGGGGAAATCACTTGCGTCTCGGTTAACTAACTAATCTCACGACAGGATTGAATCACTTCCGACATCGGTGTGTAATATACTATTATTTAGTTATTTTTATTAATATGTGATGTGCCATTTTTGAGTAAAGGTCGACGAGAAATATAACACTTTTTGTAGAAGTCGACGAAAATGGGGAAGAAAGGGAAGAAATCCGTGCAAACCTCTTTCAATCGACGAATCATGATTTACATTTCATGTACAATCAATATTATGAGTTAAAGTTGAAAGGAATCGAATCTATATCGTTTTGAAATCAGCATATTTCATTCGATATTTCAAACAGCCAAATATGATGGTGGAGTCGTGACGTATTAGACCCGAACTGTAGCTATCTCTCTCTGATACCTCGTCATTCTGCAGTGTTGCAGAGTGATTGGTCAGTTCAAGGACAATAGGCGTGTTGGGACTAAGACGTCGCACCAGTCACACCAATGAATTGATGAAATTTCAAATGGCGCAGGAATTGTGTGTTTTGAAATGGACATATACTAATTTATTTTTTTCATCGTCTTAGCATGAATGAAAAAATTCAAAATTAATTCACTGGTAGTTTTTCAGTATAGAGTTCACGATAATGTCGTTTTAAAAAATCAGTGGTCTTTCCCATTGTGATTTAAAAAAAATAGTGGATATTTATTACCTTGTCCGAGAAGCCATCACAAGAGTTGTCTACATATAACGCTTGCACGTCGGCGAAGGTCTTCCAGGCGTCCAGCGAGTATCGGATGTGCACCGACTTGTGGAAGTCGAGATTGCGCACGCGCACCGTCCCGGAGACAGAGAGGGAGATCGGATCGTCGACGAGGGCGTTCTCCAATCGCACCTGGTTCTCTCTGACAGAGTCGAGGAAGTCCGGCTGACCGCCGGGTTGTTGGAACAGCGGGATAAGCAGCTTGTCCGCTTTAGGGCACTTCACTGGAAGACAATCGAAGCGCTCAAATAAACAGAAACAGTAACATTTTTGACGTTTTTCAATATGCGATAACTTTACAGAAAATGGGCTCATATCACAAAAAAAATTATTTCATTATTCGATAGAACTCACCCAAACTAGCTCACCACCGCAAACCGTTTCTTGCTGTGAGCTCCCTACGTTTTATAAAAAATTATTGAAATCCCCGATTTTTCGGACCTCTGAAAACGAGGCGATGATGTGACGTCAAAACCCTATTACTGAAACAAGACTATTCCATACAGAGATGAATGATACATGATTTATGACAGAGTGAATTAGCGCGAGATCACAGTTGAAAGAATTAGTATATCAGTTGCCTCAGTCTCCGTCGGGCTTTTGTTACTTTCTTTTAACTATGGCGAGATGAGGTTTCTACGTCATAAGAGAGGGTACGTTTTCAGATGGTACTATTATTTATGTCCAAAAATAAAACATTCCAGTTAATTTTTCGATCGAATTATGTCGTCAATCATTATTTATGTATAAAAGGATAATTATAAACATGGTTTGAGTTGAAAGTTCTATCAAGGTGTACACGCCCATTGTCCGATTTTCATTTGAAATGCAGTGTTCACAAGAAGAAGAAGCGTCCTTTCTGTTTGAGAAACATTCCCAGTTAAAACAGGATATCTTATGAATATCCATTTCGAGTCCTATTCAAGGCGGGATATCCGTGAACATAAAATGTATATCCATAAGAAATCCGATTGCGGATGTACTTGAGATATCCGAAACAAATGTCCGGAATACGTCCATAGGATATCCATAAGATACAGAGACAAAAGATCAATACCTAGAAACGAATCAAGTATATATATATATATATATACAGGGTGGGCCACCAGTAACGCCTCGGTCTCTAGAAGGCTAACCACTTATCTTCTTGGAATTCTTCCTCTCTAGGAAGTTGCATGTCAACATAGGCTATACCATTTGAAATTATTTTGAAACATACAGGATGTCCCCAAAAATCACAAGACACTGAAGTTGAACTTTTTTCTATCAAACACCCTATATATTATTTCATTTTGAGATTCTCCCTGGTGAGCTGATTCCAACGACCCATCATACTTGGGGTCTAGCAGTTATAATTACTGAGATATAGGGTGTGAGAAATCGAGATTATCCAAGTTCAAGAATTTTTTGTGTCGAAACTATTCATAATTGGTCAAAACGGCTCACATGCCCCTATCTCAACTTTTGATCAACTATCTACTGACATTTAATTGAGACAAATACAGGGTGGTGCAGAATTCAGAATGTTGATCACCCGGTATATGTCCCAATTACATATTTTGAATTTCCTCATTCTGATGAAAAATCATAATCTCTGACCTCGAGAACCCTCAGATACCAAATTTGAATTAAATCTAACCATAATTACAAAACTCGTCTGGTAGCAAAAATCGCAAAAATGCCTGAAATTTGCAAGAATTCCTGGAAATTGCAAATATTGCAAATATTCCTGAAAACTGCAGAAATTGGAAGAATTGCAAAAATCCCAGAAAATTGTAAAAATTCCTGAAAATTGTAAAAATTCCTGAAAATTGCAAAAATTGTAAAAATTCCTGAAAATTGCAAAAATTGCAAAAATTACTGAAAATTGTGAAAATTGCAAAAATTCCTGAAAATTGCAGAAATTGCAAAAATTGCAAAAATTCCGGGAAATTGTAAAAATTCCTAAAAATTCCTAAAAATTGCAAAAATCGCAAAAATGCCTGAAAATTGCAAAAATTCCTGAAAATTGCGAAAATTGCGAAAATTCCTGAAAATCGCAAAAATTGCAAAAATTCCTGAAAATTGTAAAAATTGCAAAAATTCCTGAAAACTGCAGAAATTGCGAAAATTGCAAGAATTCCGGAAAATTGTAAAAATTCCTGAAAATTGCAAAAATCGCGAAAATGACTGAAAATTGCAAATATCGCAAAAATGCCTGAAAGTTACAAAAATCGCAAAAATGTCTGAATTCTTGGAATTTTTGCATATTACAGGCATTTTTGCGAGTTTTGCAATATTTAGGAATTTTTGCAATTTTTGTGATTTTTAGGAATTTTTGCAATTCTTGCAATTACTGCAATTTCCAGGAATTTTTGCAATTTTCAGGAATTTTTGAAATTTTTTCAATTTTCCGGAATTTTTGCAATTTTCACAATTTTCAGGAATATTTGCGATTTTTGCAATTTTCAGAAATTTTCGAAAATTTCAGGAATTTTTGAAATTTTCACAATTTTCAGGAATTTTTTCAATTATCAGGAATTTTTGCGATTTCTGCAATTTTCAGGAATTTTTGCAATCTTTGCAATTTTCAGGAATTTTTGCGATTCTAGCAATTTTCGCAATTCTCATGAACTTTTGCAAGTTTTGCAATTTTCACAATTTTCAGGAATATTTGCGATTTTTGCAATTTTCAGGAATTTCGAAATTTTTGCATTTGTCAGGAATTTTTCCAATTTTGATGAATTTTTTAAATCTTTAATTTTCAGGAATTTTTTCAATTTTTGCAATTTTCAGGCATTTTTGCGATTTTTGCAATTTCTGCAATTTTTGCAATTTTCAGGAATTTTTGCAATTTTTGCAATTCTCAGGAATTTTTGCAATTTTCAGGAATTTTTGCAATTTTTACAATTTTCAGTCATTTTTGCAATTTTCAGGAATTTTTGTGATTTTTGCAATTTTCACAATTTTCAGGAATTTTTTCGATTATCAGGAATTTTTGCAATTCCTGCAATTTTCAGGAATTTTTCCAATTTTCGCAATTTTCAGGAATTTTTGTAATTTTCAGGAATTTTAGCAATTTTTGCTATTTTTGCAATTTTCAAGGCATTTTTGCTATTTTTGCAATTTTCAGGAATTTTTGCGATTTTTGCAATTTCCACAATTTTCAGGAATATTTGCGATTTTTGCAATTTTCAGGAATTTTTGCAATTTTCACAATTATCAGGAATATTTGCGATTTTTGTAATTTTCAGGAATTTTAGCAATTTTTGCTATTTTTGCAATTGTCAAGGCATTTTTGCGATTTTTGCAATTTTCAGGAATTTTTGCGATTTTTGCAATTTTCACAATTTTCAGGAATATTTTCGATTTTTGCAATTTTCAGGAATTTTTGCAATTTTCACAATTTTCAGGAATATTTGCGATTTTTGTAATTTTCAGGAATTTAGGAATTTTTGCATTTGTCAGGAATTTTTCCAATTTTCAGGAATTTTTGAAATTTTCACAATTTTCAGGAATTTTTTCAATTTTCAGGAATTTTTGCAATTTCTGCAATTTTTGCAATTTTCAGGAATTTTTGCAATTTTCAGGAATTTTTGTGATTTTCAGGAATTTTTGCAGTTCTTGCTATTTTTGCAATTTTAAGGCATTTTTGCGATATTTGCAATTTTTAGGAATTTTTGCAATTTTCAGGAATTTTTGCAATTTTTACAATTTTCAGGATTTTTTGCGATTTTTGCAATTTTCAGGAATTTCTGCGATTTTTAGAAATTTTTCTAATTTTCAGGAATTTTTGCAATTTCTGCAATTTCTGCAATTTCTGCAATTTCTGCAATTTTCAGAAATTTTTGCAATTTTCAGGCATTTTTGCGATTTTTGCAATTTTTGCAATTTTCAGGAATTTTTGCAATTTTTGCAATTTTCAGGAATTTTTGCAATTTTCAGGAATTTTTGAAATTTTTAGGAATTTTTGCAATTTTCAGGCATTTTTGCGATTTTTGCAATTTCTGCAATTTTTGCAATTTTCAGGAATTTTTGCAATTTTCAGGAATTTTTGAAATTTTCAGGAATTTTTGAGATTTTTGCAATTTTCAGAAATTTTTCTTATTTTCAGGCATTTTTGCGATTTTTTCAATTTTTGCAATTTTCAGGGATTCTTTCAATTTCTTGAAATTTTTGCAATTTTTGCAATTTTCGCAATTTCTGCAATTTTTGCAATTTTCAGGAAATTTTGTAATTTTCAGAAATTTTTGCAAATTCTGCTATTTTTGCAATTTTCAGGCATTTTTTCGAATTTTTGCAATTCTCAGGAATTTTTGCGATTTTTGCAATTTTCGCAATTTTCAGGAATATTAGCAATTTTTGCAATTTTCAGGAATTTTTGCAATTTTTGCAATTTTCAGGAATTTTTGCAATTTTTGCGATTTTCAGGAATTTTTGCAATTTTTGCAATTTTTGCAATTTTCAGGAATTTTCGCAATTTTCAGGAATTATTGAAATTTTTAGGAATTTTTGCAATTTTCAGGCATTTTTGCGATTTATGCAATTTCTGCAATTTTTGCAATTTTCAGGAATTTTTGCAATTTTCAGGAATTTTTGCGATTTTTGCAATTCTCAGAAATCTTCCTTATTTTCAGGCATATTTGCGATTTTTTCAATTTCTGCAATTTTCAGGGATTCTTGCAATTTTTGCAATTTTTGAGATTTTCAGGAATTTTTGTAATTTTCAGGAAATTTTGCAATTTCTGCAATTTTTGCAATTTTCAGGCATTCTTGCGATTTTTGCAATTTTCAGGAATTTTTGCGATTTTTGCAATTTTCACAATTTTCAGAAATATTTGCAATTTTTGCAATTTTCAGGAATTTTTGCAGTTTTCACAATTTTCAGGAATTTTTGCGATTTTTGCAATTTCCAGGAATTTAGAAATTTTTGCATTTGTCAGGAATTTTTTCAATTTTCAGGAATTTTCGAAATTTTCACAATTTTCAGGAATTTTTTCAATTTTAAGGAATTTCTGCAATTTCTGCAATTTTTGCAATTTTCAGGAATTTTTGCAATTTTCACAATTTTTACAATTTTCAGGCATTTTTGCGATTTTTGCAATTTTCAGGAATTTTTGCGATTTTTGCAATTTTCAGGAATATTTGCGATTTCTGCAATTTTCAGGAATTTTCGCAATTTTCAGGAGTTTTTAAAATTTTCACAATTTTCAGGAATTTTTTCAATTTTCAGGAATTTTTGTAATTTTTAGGAATTTCTGCGATCTTTAGAAATTCTTCCAATTTTCAGGAATTTTTGCAATGTCTGCAATTTTTGCAATTTTTGCAATTTTCAGGAATTTTCGCAATTTTTGCAATTTTCAGGAATTTATGAAATTTTTGCGATTTTTGCAATTTTCAGGCATTTTTGCGATTTTTTCAATTTTTGCAATTTTCAGGGATTCTTGCAATTTCTAGAAATTTTTGCAATTTTTGCAATTTTTGCAATTTCGGCAATTTTCAGGAATTTTTGTAATTTTCTGAAATTTTTGCAATTTTTGCTATTTTTGCAATTTTCAGGCATTTTTGCGATTTTGCAATTTTCAGGAATTTTTGCGATTTTTGCAATTTTCGCAATTTTCAGGAATATTAGCAATTTTTGCAATTTTCAGGAATTTTTGCAATTTTCACAATTTTCAGGAATATTCGCGATTTCTGCAATTTTCAGGAATTTAGAAATTTTTGCATTTGTCAGGAATTTTTTCAATTTTCAGGAATTTTTGAAATTTTTACAATTTTCAGGAATTTTTTCAATTTTAAAGGAATTTCTGCAATTTCTGCAATTTTTGCAATTTTCAGGAATTTTTGCAATTTTTACAATTTTCAGTCATTTTTGCGATTTTTGCAATTTTCAGGAATTTTTGCGATTTTTGCAATTTTCACAATTTTCAGGAATATTTGCGATTTTTGCAATTTCCAGGAATTTTCGCAATTTTCAGGAATTTTGAAATTTTTACAATTTTCAGGAATTTTTTCAATTATCAGGAATTTTTGCAATTCCTGCAATTTTCAGGAATTTTTGTAGTTTTCAGGAATTTTTGCAATTTTTGCTATTTTTGCAATTTTCTGGAATTTTAGCGATTTTTGCAATTTTCAGGAATTTTTGAAATTTTTACAATTTTCAGGAATTTTTTCAATTATCAGGAATTTTTGCAATTCCTGCAATTTTCAGGAATTTTTGCAATTTTTGCAATTTTCAGGAATTTTTGCAATTTTCAGGAATTTTTGCAATTTTTGCTATTTTTGCAATTTTCTGGAATTTTTGCGATTTTTGCAATTTTCAGGAATTTTTGCGATTTTTGCAATTTTCACAATTTTCAGGAATATTTGCGATTTTTGCAATTTCCAGGAATTTTTGTTTTTCAATTTTGTTCGTGAATAATTTCCCCATTTGTAATTTTTTTTTATATTCACCCTAAATAATTCCATAAGTTAATCATAACAAAATCAGTTGAGCATACCTTTGTTCAAATTCAAGCATATTTGTGCAATTAACTTGAATTTTGATTTTTTTAGGGAATCAAAAACTTTAATATGTTTGTTGCAACGATATTCAGCTTAACTTCAAAATTTCGCAAACCATACTTTTAACAGGGTAAAACATCATTAATGATAATATACATATCCAAAAACTTCCATTCAATGTGAAAATTTTTGTATTTAAAATATTACAAATTGGGAAATTATCAACGAACAAAATTGAAAAACTAAAAAATGTCTTAGGAGGCCATGTTTTGGTATTCAGGCATAACTTTCAATTGTAAACAACTCTTCCAAATAACATTTGGCTGAATTTTCTGAAATAAGGGTACTTTACTCTTGAGCAATTTTTATATTTTTTGACCTACCCTGTATGCTGTGTGGCTTGCACCCATTCTAAGTGCACCTAAAATGATTACCGAACATGCACCAACTTTCGGCACTATCTGTATTTTGGTTGTGCAATTTATTGAAAAGATTCCCATATGTTGCACACTTAGATGACCACACTGTATAGGGTATACTATTTATCGTGCCAAAGGTTGCAGTCTTCGATTTATCGCATCTTGAAAAACGTCAAAAATCCGAATAGTCCACGTGTTTTTTCGAGCACTTTATTATTATATCTATACGACGGCGTATTAGCGCCACAATAACCTATTAATTTTTTATCAGAATCTCAAAATTTTGAGATTTTATCTCAAAATTTTGAGATTTTTTCTCAAAATTTTGAGATTTTTTCTCGAATTTGTTACCTACATGATAACAACATTGTGTATGTTTGCATCCAGTTATAAAGTGGTTGTGCTTTGCGAAGATTCCTCACCTCACCTAGTAGACCTATTTATGTGTTAAATGGAGAACACTAATATATACCAATGAACTAGTAAAGAGATATTTCTTCCTTTGTTTGAATAACCATGAACCATGAAATATTACAATGTTTGCAGTTAGTACATAACAACAGCAGAAGAACATTACAAAGACGATTGAAATCCTTGGGATTGTATAGAATATAGAAGGACATTTTTTACGAATGATCATGAGCTTCTTTCTTTTCTCAATAAAGAAATTGACGTTTCTGGACAATTACATCCATCACTTTCATCAGCTTTTGCTGTGAATATCTTATGGATATCCATAAGATATCTACTGAAGGATATCCATTTCAAATCCTTCAATGGATATCTCATGGATGTCCATTTCAAATCCAGTAGGAAAACGAAGAATCAGATGTAGGACCGCTCTCGTTTTCTTTGTTGTTTCAATTTATATAGTGCACCTATATCATGCACTTCACAATTCTGATATCTACCCACTGTCAACTCTATAATTGACAATGCAGTATTGTAACTGAATACACGCATTCATAATGTGGATTATTTTGAGAAAAAATCTCAAAATTTTGAGAAAAAATCTCGAAATTTTGAGAAAAAATCTCAAAATTTTGAGAAAAAACCTCAAAATTTTGAGAAAAAATCTCGAAATTTTGAGATTCTGATAAAAAAATTAATAGGTTATTGTGGCGCTAATACGCCGTCGTATATCTCTACGATTAGTTGATTGCGGGATTTACCATCGGACGACTCGCTGAGATCGGCCCCAGACAAGTCTTCGAAAGCCGACACTGGCACCTTGGGCACCTCGTCCAGAAACGTCCTCACGTCCGCCAAGTCCAAACCCAACACATCAGCGAACCTGCAACGATAAATTATGACATAACTAATAATAATTAAAGAATAATATATTGTGCAACAAGTGAGAAAAGTGCTTTTCCCCACATGTTGCACACTATATACTCTTTCAACAACTGCACTTTGGACGAAAAAACTTTTTCCGCCTACCTCTATCCAAAGTAAACATTCCCTTGCCTCAATGTAGGGAGAAACGTCGTACTTTATTTCCTCCCTGAGAAGGGAAAGTACTTATTCTCCCTAACTTTTTCTCCCTTGGGAGAAAAAGTGATAGTGACGTCATATCACTCATCAAAACTAAATAGGAATCGAGTTTAGAATCCAGATCCGTCTTCAGGCAAAACAGAAAACTTCTTCTTTCTCAATAACAACACTCTCTATGTTAGAATTTTGTAGATATGTTCCGATATCTGCAAGAAGCAGGAAGAATCAATAGATTATTGGTCTACTTCTTAACAGTGCGCATCCAATATGAAAAATATAGAACTCGTAAATCATTCTAGTTATTTTCGTGTGCTCATTACATTTTTACAAACACAAATGTCAAATTTGATGCACGTTTATAAAAAGTAGGCCACATTGTTCATTATTTTCCTTCTCTTTCCAGTTATCAAAACATATCTAGAGATTTTGGGAAAGATTATATTTTCAGCCTGTGTTCAATCATTAGACTTTCGTAAATAATACTGTCAGAGTATATCCGTGTTCAATACTTCATCTTATATTTTGTATATTATATATTTTTCCCCCGTATAATTTCATCATCAACAGTCATAGATTTCCCCCCGTATCATTCCATTATCATCATTAGTCATAGATAAATCATTTGTTCGAAAATTAATCGGTTAGCAGCATGATTCATCTTATGAGTCATTCATTAGGGACCAGGTGGTAAATCAAGACAGTATTATATTAGATGTCATCACGAACGGTCGAATTTTGTGATCGACATCGAAAAATACGCGAAAGGAATTATTTATCGTTTCAAACTAAGTGTTCCCTAAAACCTGAGTGATCGTATTGATTCGTATATATAGTGTTTTTGTATTCCCCATTCGATTCAATAATAATAATATCGGGATCGTGTGTTGTTCTAGTGATCTAGTGTTTCGTGTTGTTTCATCAAAGCCTCACTTTTTTCACGCTGGTAAGTGCAGAGAAATTCTCTTAAATTTTTCTCATATTTGTCTGTATTTATTTAACTTCATTACCCTATACACGGTGTGTCACGAGTCACGACGAGCTTACACTATCCTCAAATCGAGGATCAGTCGGGAGAAAACCATGAAAATGTGCATGCCTATATTTTGGTATACCTTCTTTTCATTTAATATATGTTCGACAATGCAGTGTTGCCGCTTCTACTAGAAAGTAGTTGCAACATTGATATTTCGAACGGAACACCCTGTATTTTATCGCATTTCAAGATTCTCCCTGAAGAGCTGATTTCATCGACCCCCATACTTGGGGTCTATCGAAAATGATTACAGAGATATAGGGTGTTCAAAATCGATATTTTTCAACTTTAGGATTTTTTTGTGTCGAAAATATTCATTATCGGTCAAAACGGCTCACATGTCCCTATCTCAACTTTTGTTTCACTATTTACTGATATTCAATCGGAACAGATACAGGGTGGTTCAAGATTCAGAATTCTGATCACATGCATATTTTCATGGATTTCTCCCGACTGATTCTCGATATAGGGTGATTCACATAAGAACCGACATAGAGCAGGGGCATGTAGGGGGTCCCAAAATATGGCAATTTAACGTAACTTACCTCTATACCAAGTTGCTTCCCTAAGGAGTTATAGGCTTTGAAAGTGAAGTTATAAATTTTGAAAAAAATCAATATCTCCGTTATTCTTGAACTTAAAGCAACCAAATTTGGTACAGTTTGTGGATGTATTTAGGGCGTTACTTGACAGTAACTAGAGCTTAATTGAAATTTGTAAAGGGAGTATACCGGGTGGTGTACCATTAATATTCAACAGAATTTTGTTAACCTTTGATGGATTTCAAAAATCTTTGCTTTGTTGTGTGGGCAATTCAATTCTAAAACTTTTCTTAGTCCAGTAATTTCTTGAAAAACCTCATCGTTTTCATCAAAAACTCGAATAACTGAAAACGCGTGCTCTAGGTGTGTTATTTAAAATCATCGAAAATTCAAAAGTTGGCTATGAAAATAAACGTCAAACTTGACAATGAAGCAAGTAAGTTGTTCAATTTATCGATAAACAACTGTTTGTTCTGGTTGTTGTTCAAGTTTTTTGTGTTTATTTTGGTTAGTTGTTAATCCCAGTTTTACACATTTCAGTATCTGTACTTACTTTACGTATTTTGTTACGTATCTAAATAATAATTTGCCAGCCAATTTCTACTGATCACAATTAATGACCTACTTTCTTGTTGTACGTTTATTTTCATAGCCAACTTTTGAATTTTCGATGATTTTAAATAACACACCTAGAGCACGCGTTTTCAGTTATTCGAGTTTTTGATGAAAACGATGAGGTGGTTCGAAAAATTACTGGAGTAAGAAAAGTTTTAGAATTTAATTGCCCACCCAACAAAGCAAAGATTTTTGAAATCCATCAAGGGTTAACAAAATTCTGTTGAATATTAATGGTGCGCCACCCGGTATACCCTCTTCACAAATTTAAATTGAGCTCTAGTTACTGTGAAGTAACGCCCTAAATACAACCACATACTGTACCAAATTTGGTTGCTTTAAGTTCTAGAATAACGGAGATATTGTTTTTTTTTCAAAATTTATAACTTCACTTTCAAAGCATATAACTCGCTTAGGGAAGCAACTTGGTATAGAGGTAAGTTGCGTTAAATTGCCATATTTTGGAACCCACTACATGCCCCTCCTCTATGTCGGTTCTTATGTGAATCACCCTGTAGAGATAGTGTAAGCTCGTCGTGACATACCCTGTATGTTTCGTACCGTTTGTTGTATTTTCTTCGATCAAGGAATACTTCCTTCTGATTTTCGTGCTTCCTGTTCGTAACTACATCTTTTAAGAATTTACCATCTTCAATAACTGTGATACAGAACGTAATCTTGATTTTGGCAAAATCTTCTTCTATGGTCAGGTCATAACTTTTGAACCACCGTGTATAATCGATTCATACTTGGTAGGTATATTCAACTCATATTTACCATAAAAAAAATTTATAGAATCCAGATCCGTCTTCAGGCAAAACAAAAAACTTCTTCTTTCTCAATAAATAACAACACTCTCTATGTTAGAATTTTGTTTTTTTTAACAGTGCGTACCTATCCAATTTGAAATATAGATTTTTTTTCCAATTGTCTCGGCCGTTACTTGATGGAAATCCATGGCAAATGTGAAAACTTCACAAACGATAAGATTTCCACAAAATTCTTAAACACACAACATGTTTCGCTAACACAGTAGCTTCGTCAGGTGATATACTGGTACAATGAACTGTTCATTTTCAATTTTCAATTTATCATAGTTGGCCGTGTTGTAGTGCAATCAGAGTGTTGGATACTCAGAAATGTAGAACTCATTGGGAAGTACATGTTGAAACACAAAATTTTTGAAATCTGGCAGCGATTTAGAAAATACCAAGGTGGTGCTGCTCAAAGTGGGACACACTGTATATGTCTATGAATTTTCTATCCCTATTTTCAAACATTTTCCATCAATATTATTATCAATTTGTTCGATAGCTTATACGTTTTTTTATTAATGTTTTTTCAGAACTTTCTTACATAAATATATTCAATATATGCTTATTATTTCTAAGATTTTCTCAGCATTTTATTTTAGTTTAAATGCATCATAAAGTCACAGATAGGTAATTTTATTGTTTATTTAGGTGATTTACTTGATTTTATTGTTTATTTAGATTAATTATTCACTACCTCTGTTATTCTTTTCTTCATATAAACTAGCTACAGGGTGTCACCTGAAACTGTCAAAAATTTTTGAATTTTCAAAAGGATCCCAAATGAACGAAAACTTTTTTTTTCAACTTTGACAGCAGATTACCTTGAGACATTTTTCGAATTGTCTTACAGAGTGATATCGAAGAATTAACTTTTAGGTTTTGCAGTCAACACTTTTTTCCTTCTTAACCGATTTTTAAAATCTCAGGCTCACTTTGATAATGAAACTTCAGATGAAGAGATATGAAGATCAGAATTGACTCAAGATGAACATTGCACAGTGTGTCTCACTTTTAATGAAAGCATCCCTGTATCTTTCGTATTTGTTTAGTTAGGATTCTGAAATTTGCAGGAACGGTAGATATATACTGAAAGTAAACACTATGACCAAGTAGAATCATCTTCAGTGATATACACTGCTTGTTAACAGCCATGATGGAACCATCCACAAAAATCAAATAGGCGAGTTGACAATTTTTTTCATTATTTTCAGAATTCTCCATTCGATTTCAAGGTGCTGAGATCAACAATAATGCCACGGTAATTATCAAACGGCTAAAAATTGACCGCAAGAAAAAACTCGTCACGTCACGATTTCGTAAGTATTAGGGACAGACCATAACACAGTTGACATGTGTTGAAGTAGGATTGGAACTTAGGAAATATTAGTTATTCAATAATTCATAAATTCTCAATTTTGTATTGGTTATATTCCTAATTAGACATAAAAATCAATTGTCTCAAAATATTCCCTCATCTGTTGTGGCTTATTGTTTATAATACATTTGTGTTAATATTATTATATTAATTCACACTAGAGGATATTTGAGGTTAAACGTGACAACCCGGCGCACGAATTGTGGGCGGTGCCTTGTCAGTTCTCAGCATTCAGCACATTGTTGCCAAGTCTTCAACATCAACATGATATTTTGTTATAGGGTACAAGAGATATACAGACATGCTCTGGTTGCTCAAAACAGTCAAGAATAATTTATAATATCATGGCTTACTCTTATTATGTTTTATCTCGTGTTTTATCCAACGACAGGACTCTAATCTTTATGATAAATTGATTAT